AAAACAAAACAAAATAAAACCTAAACTGACCAAAATTGGGGGGGGGAGCAACTTCCAAAACTATCTGACAATCCAAAAAAAAGGTAATTTACTCTCCAAATGCTCACATTTGCCTGTGCTCGACCTCAAAAAGTGTGTGGGGGGGGGGGGGGGGGGGCAACCTGCATCTAAAGCAAAAGTTACTATAGCACTACGTTCTCTACCCAGAGTTATCGTTCCCTCTACGCTCCCACATACACCTCTGTCAATGCTTGTTATACAAGATTCTTGGAAAAATTGTAAATGGTTAAAAGTTGTATTCATAATCGTTTTCAATTATATTTCTTATCGGAAATCATTATTTATCTTAATTTATTACACCTTAAAAGGATTTTTTAATTAAGATTTAAACTTTTACTCCGCAAAATAGTTCCTAAAAACTTTGTAATTAGTCGTTTTGAGGGATTATAGAATTAAAATAAATAATAAATTATCATCTTTATCGATAATTTCAATAATTTTAAAATTACTATTTAACTTTCGAATTTTCACCGTTTAAAATTTGTACAAGAAGCGTTGACAGAGGTGTTGTGAGCGTAGCGGAAGACAACTCTGGATAGAGAAAGATAGCATTATAGTAAACTCAGAAAAACAGACAAAATATGAACCAACGTTAGGTTGTATTTAGGAACAAGGTCATTATAACGACCGTATAATTTGCAAAATGCTGACTTTAGACGGGGTTGTTGAAATTCTTGAAACATCAATTCATTTGTCAGTAGCTTGCCTCGGTTTAAAAATTGATCGTACTTAGAGCATACTCTTACGTATCAAATCAGCTGGGAGAATAAACACCATATCCAGGTGATGTTGGGGTATTACTACATAAGTAAGTGAAAATGACAATGGAAAAGCTGAAGTCATCCAGTTTGTCATACAGTTTAGTAAATCCTTAATTTCGAGTTCAATGGGATATATCGAATCGACACATGAATGAAAGTAACTTAATAATTATTGTTAAAACGTCGTCGATATAATTATCTAAATATCGAGTTGAAGGTTATGCTTCTTCTCATGCAGAAGATTCTGAATACATTCTGTTCCATAGGAATATAAAAACAGGTCGGCTAGTAAAAGGGCACAGTTAGTGCCCATCAAAATTCAGACAGATTGTTGAATTCCTGGTCTCCATATAATACATAGATATTGTCAATGAGGAACTCCAGCATCTTTTAATATCAACTTCATAGTACTTGTTTGTAGAATCAGAATGATTTTTAACAAAGTAATTTACAGATGATCAATCACAAGATATGAAAATTTGCGAGTTATACTATATACCCCCCCCCCCCCAACTTCGTTCTTACAGCCATGAAAGACGTTATTTATGTTTAGCACAAACTATTCCAGTGAAAAGGGGGAGGCAGAAATTTCAAGACAAGTAAAAGAATAAAAGGTCCCCGTGCCCCCCTCTCCTCCCCTTTCCGGCTCCTGGTCTGTCTAAAAAAAATAAAGTACATGCAGTATAAATTGGCATTTGAGATATAATACAATTAACGACGATGGACCTAATTCATTTCTACAATAGACTTCTCATTCAAATTTTGATATTAGATAGCTTTGGGTGAGGTAAAATCAATTTTTAAAAAATGATATAAATATGAAGACACAAATTATAAATTTTTAAGGGGGGGGGGGGGATTTTTAAAAGTTAGTAATGAAAATCGATAAGTACCATAGAAAGCAATGGGAAAATTGCCAGTGTATGATATAAGACTAGTCGTTTAAAAAATTCTGCAATAGATTTTTAATTCATATTAAAGGATTATGTTAACAATTAAAAAATTAATTTCGGGCTTTGAACAGTTGAAGGTGTAGCGGCGGCTCATGTATTTTACTGTGTATACAAAAGGGCTCATTTGTTGTGTCTATTAAACCTGTTAGAACATAATTAAAAGATAATTGGATAATTGACAGCTAGTAAGGTATAATTTAAAGCCTTAGGATGCACAAATGTGCACAAGAAAGGTTTTAGGAAGAATTTTTTTCCACATTTCCTGGACTTGGTCGAGAGATGAAAGGGGGGCCTTTTTCTGTAAATGCGATGGCGTTTATCTCCATTCAGAGCAATCGTTTATGCCCGATCGATCATGAATTTTTTCTTTCCTATAAAATATTTTAAGGAAAGATACCTTTAGAAAAAATAATGAATGACAAACACGAATTTTTTAAAAGTCGCACAGAATCTAGTAGGAATGTTGTGAACTTCGTTATGGCGTACGGCGCCATTGAACTGTTGAAGAAGTGTCATTTCTAGTACATGATATTCACTGTAGGAACAGATAAAAGATATACAGGATTTATTTATATTTAATTAATTAAAATAATAATGAAGGAGAATTTAAATTTCTCATATTCATAAATGTTTACGAAGTTAAACTTTAGTAATTCGCTCTATTTAGTCGAAGTCCCGAGTTGTCAACGGCTTCGTCTTCGGTGACCTCTCCAATCGTCGGCATATTTTCTGGTTATTTCTTTAATCTGCTAGACGTTCATACATAAAAGATTGACCGCCCATAACCAAAGGAATATAGTCGATGTCAAAATTTCAACCGACCATATTATGTATTCTATTTATTTAGCGTAAAAATCTATTCAATATATTTTTTCTTACGATAAGCTTTACGAGTTCTATTGACCATTGACACCTATGACGTTTCAGTACCACGTGATCCCTATCTAATTAGTGGAGATTTTTACTTCGAGGACCTTATATTACGGGCGTTTTATCGTCTAATTACGGCCGTTTTCAACATCATTTCATAATTAAACGATAATTATATGTTTCAAGAATATAATAGCGTTTCAGTTTTAAAAAATTTAGATACGTGATAAAAACCCTTTAATTACACACTAATAACTCACACAAATCTTAAAAACATTCTTTAATGTACAACTTTGAATCTCTATCGTCATGCGCGGATCCGCACCTTATAGTGACCCGACTCTAACCCCGGGACATGATCGTGACCCCACCCTTACCGCGGTGACATAATAAAATATGAAGATAACGAACAGTATTCAATCTCGAAAGTCCAATGAAACGATACAAATTTGGAGCAGAGCAAACACGGACCTCAACATTTAGAGGTGGGATCAGGTGCCATGGAGGAGTGAGCATCCCCTGCCGACCGGTCACACCCGCCGTGTGCTCATTGTCATGATCAGAAAAAAAAAAACGGAAAAATCCGTAGACAGTTCAGTGTATAAGTAATGGCCTAACAATAAGTATGAAAAACATCAGTCAGCATGCAAGCGCTGACAAGGTCATTGTATCGACTGTAAAACTTGCGAAATGATAACTTCAAACGAGACTATTCATATCCTTGTTTCATCAACTTGGTTGTCAATAGTTTGCCTCGTTTTAGAAATTGTTCATACGTAGAGCATGCTCTTGCGTATCGAATCAACTGAGATACATGAACCCCATATTCAGGTGATAAGGGTATATTGCTACATAAGTAAGGGAAGTTGACGATTGAAAAGTTAAAGTCATCACGTTTATCATAAGGCTTTGTTGTTAGATTACCATTAACGTCTTTTTCTAGTAAAATATCTAAATATGAAACAGATGTGTCAGAATCCGTGGTATCTTTTATTTCAAGCTCACTGGGATATATCGATTCAACATATGAATGAAAGTAACTATTGTTAATTGATAATACGTCGTCGATATAACGAAATATCGAGCTGAAGGCCACAGCAAGTGTTTTCTTCTTCTCATATAGAAGTTTTTGAATAAATTCTGCTTCAAATGAATACAAAAATAGGTCTGCTAATAAGGGGGCGCAATTGGTACCCATGGGCATTCCAACAGATTGTTGGAAGACCTGATCTCCAAAAACTACATAGATATTGTCAATCAGAAACCCAAGCACCTTTTTAAAATCAACTTCAGAGTACTTGTCTGTACAATCAGAATGCTTTTTAACAAAATAATTTTGCAAATGACCAATGACAAGGTAAGTATATTTACGACTTCCAATTTTATTGAAAAGGCAGCTTTCTATGATGTCAAAAAGCCTGGACTGATTTGAACAATTAAAAAAAAATCAAATCAACACTACTTCTGGAAAATTTCATACAGATTTCACTTTTTTCTGGCCCAGTGTTCTTGAAAAGATTTTTTTTAATGATCCCATCCTATGTTTTCCTTTTCTTGACTATCTCCCTTGGAAGGGGGTTTGGTCCTTTCCTTGAAAAAAAAATTAGAATTTCCTTTATGCAAACTATGGTTAAAATTGGCCCAGTGATTTTCCAGAAGTCAAAATGTTAAAATTGTACAGACGGATGGACCCCGGAGAAGTGCTGATCACTTGACCTTTCAAGCTTAGATGGGAGGGATTAGGATGCTTTAAGCCAACCTTGGTTAAAATTGGCCCACTGGTTTTCAAGAAGAAATCAGACAGGCTCAGTTGAGCTGAAATCTTCGATTGTTCATATTGTATAGAAATTTTAATTCAAAGCCCCCCCCCCCCCAAAAAAAAATACTGGCGATCTGAACCCTCACACCTGGTCTTTCAGACCGACGCCGCCCAGTCACGTTATGAACTCTGGCAACGACTGGCGAGAGATCCCACGCTAGTAGCGACTCAGTAGTGTGTCGCCGACCACGTACTGCGCCCATCTTTTTCTGCGAGATGCCCGTCTGAAGCGGACAAATCGGCCAGTCGAAAGGCAGGGGCGTAGCTTGACGTAAAAGTCTAGTGAGGCAAAAGTATTGCGGCCGGGGGTCTGGGGGCCGCAGCCCCCCGACGGAAAATGAATTTGGGGGTGTAAGAATGTAAAAATCATACTTGTCCTGGATAGAAATTTCTTAATTTTACCGGTTTCATTATTGAAGACTTCAGCATGCACATGATACTAAATATTTCAAAAGTATTAATAGACTAGAGTAAATGAAAATGTTTAATCAAACTTCAGAAACATTTGAAGATGAATATTTTATCATTTTTTTTTATTTAAAACTTCAATTGAATTCTGCGTTGTTTGGATTCGGCAAATCTGGTAAGTATATTGCGAACAGAAACTGCCTGGTGTCTGTAAATGAACAGCAAGGCAAGACCGACCAGGCGATCCTCATTCATTGTTGACCTCCCCCAGTGTTTCAGACGTCTCATTGCGGAAAAAGATCTTTCGCAAGGCACAGATCCAACTGGCATGGTGAGCAAAATACGGAAAATGACATGCAAATTTGGGTAAAAGTCCGAGTCAGCTAACATGATTGCATTGCTTAAGGAATTTCTTTCAAAACCATCATTCGGCAAGTTGCCACAGAACACTTTCCAACGTTCGAATTCTTGATTAAACACATCTCTGTCCGGTAAATCATCTTGGAACCTTTCTATAATATCTGCCAATTCGTCTCGGGTAAGTGTGTCTATCTGGCCTGGAAGAAGCTTGAAGGCTAGGAATGAAGGACGTGTCTCGTCAGAAAATCTATCGTTGACTTCCTTCAAACAATGATCAACAAATGGCAGGTAAGTATTTATTCTGTAGTATTCTTCAGCAGTGCCAGCAAGAACAGCATTTGCTCTGTGTTGCATATGACCCGCCGTTCTTGGTTTCTGTAACTTGATCCCAATACTGTCAGTAATGGCTGATGCTTTTGACCATATACATCTCTGAAAAACTTCCTCACAACGCTATCATTAATAACTTGCTTGCAATTCTGTGCGTCAACAAAGGCCTTGTATACATCACATTTTGAACTCTGGAGAGCCAAAGTCAGAGGCTTCATATAACTCAGTATGTGGTGTGCAACAACAATTGCAACAATAAATGAACTCTTCTCCTTCATATTTATAAATGCAGTGGCTTTCGTACGAGCATCGGATACAGTGCTTTCATTTCTGACATCTTCCAGCGTCGATAATATGGCTGCATACTTTCCAATGACAACTGAAAGAGTATCAACTCTAGCAGACCATCTAGTTTCGCAAAGCTTAGGCAAGATGTTCACAGATAACGATTTCTCTATGTTTTTATTACTTTCGGTTACCTCATTTTCGATATTTCCAATTAAATAATCAACTTGTTTTGCATTTGGCAAATGTCGTTTCATAATCGAAACTCTCTTTGGACTGGCCCCAAGAAACCATGTCAGGTGATTAACATCATCAAAGAGGTTTCTTGACCATAGGTATGTTCTTGCATGAAGAAGATATAACTAAATTCAGTGCATGTGCTCGACAGTGATGGTACTCAGCAAGCGGTTGGACTTCCCGTATACGAGAACAGACCCCAGATTTTGATCCAGACATAACGCTTGCCCCATCATAACCCTGCCCTCTGAGGTATTGTGTATCTAAATTACAGTCTTCAAGCTTTTGCAAAATTGCATTACTTAGGGATGCTGCATCGACTGAATCTAGAGAAGCATATCCAATGAAGTCTTCGTTTACTACATTGTTTTCATCCACATACCTGATGCATATAGCCATTTGTTCAATATTGGCTACATCTGCCATTCATCGGCCATAACAGAAAACCATTTGGCAGTCCTGGTACGTGACAATATTGAGCTTAGTACTTCTTCTCCAGCTAACTCGGTTATTTCATTTTGAATGTCAGGACTAAGATATTTTGCATTGTAAGCTGCATTTTCAAGGTGAGCTTTAAAGGTGCTTGGACACAGATTTGAAGTTAATATTTTCTCAAATTTTTTGTATAATTTCATGACCTATATGTTGCTATAGCAATTCATACTAAAATATAATAAAAATCTTATTTCATCTCGTAGTTATTGAAACTTCAAATTTCTGAACGCGTTTGATTGACACATCCTTGCACTTTCACAAATTTTGATTTTACTTTAAATACTTAAGAAAAGTGGCAATTTTGTTGTGTATTAATGAAAAATATTAAAACTATAATCCAGAAAATTCAGAGTAGAAATGTTCGAAAGCAAAACCCACTTACAGTATTGTCAGTCCGTGCTCAGTGGTGTGTGCAGACTTTAACAATTGAACACACCCGGTGAATCGTAAACATTAACAATAACAGAGCTCGTGCCCTGTTTACAAAAACAGTTTACGTTTCACGGGTGTATTCAATTTGTTAAACTCTGTACACAACACTGAGCACGGGCTGACGATATTAGTGAGGGGGTTTGCTTTCGCACATTTCTACTCTGAATTTTCTGGATTATAGATGTAATGTTTTTCATTAATTCACAACAAAATCGCTTCTTTCCTTAAATGTTAAGGATAAAGATAAAATTTGTGCAAGTGCAAGGATGTGTTAATCAAACGCGTCTAGGAATTCGTAGTTCCAATAATTTCCAGATAAAATAAGTTCTTAATTATATTTTCGTGTGAAATGCTATTTCAATATATAAGTCGTGATATTATACAGAAAATTTGAGAAAATATTAACTTCAAATCTGTGTCTAAGCATCTTTAAGAACGGGTTTTTCTTTAGCCAACCAGTGAACAAAGAATTCAAAATTACCATCCTCCCGTTTTGTGATAGTGTCCCAACGATGACCTATAAACGGAATATTCGTTGACCGAGAGCAATGACTACGTTTATGATGTTAGACAATATTTCTCTGTTTTTAAGAACAGTATCTTCATAACTTTGAGATAGTACTGCTTTTGATGCTTTTTTCTTCCCCCGAATAAACTTTCATAAAGTTCACTGCCTTAACAAGGGCGTTTTGGTGAGCGCTTGATTCCTCATGAATCTGTAGAGTACCTCTTTTAGAACCATAGCATTTTTCCAGTCTCTGAGACCAGACGTTACAAGTTTGTCCGATTGATTTTGCTGACCAAAAGCAATGCATGGGGCACAAAATGCTGCATCTTTCGATAGCGAATATCTTAGCCAAATAAATTTATCTTCCCAAGTTAAATTGTATCGTCTGCCATTGGTTACAGGAAATGAATATTTTTCGTGTGGAGAAGGACTCCATTTGCTTGACAGTATCTTTGATTTTTCAGCATCATCTAAAACTTTCTGTATAAAATTTACTGGATCCATCGACTGTTTTGTTTTTTTTTTCTCTCGTTATATTGCTCGGGCTTTGAAAGTTCTAATGTTGGCGTAATATATTCATCTGTTTGTGAAAAATAGGGAATTACTAGTAATAGAAGAATTTGTGTTTTTTTATGGGAAGCAGGTTTGTAGTGTCTTAGTTAATTCTGAAACTATGTTTGTAAGGATAAAAAAATTATTCACTAGTTTATAGGTTTTGTAAAACAGGCCTACCTGACGCCGATTCTAGACTGTCATTTTTCCTTTTCCTCAGAAAGGATGTCAACTTTGTTTGCCCCTTTTTCTTTTGGTCTCTGTTTTGGTCCATTTTTTCAAAAATTTCCCACAAAAACTACTTTGAGGATTTAGTGGAACTAGAGCCTGATCTCATGAATTTTGATCCCGAACATATTGATATGAAAGCAAAACAATTTAAAGCAAAACAGTTTATAGATTTGTTCGAATGTTTAATAATATGCATTAGTTAAAAAAAGAATTAAATATTTTCTACAATGTATTATTAATTATGGGAATTGAATGGTGCTGAAAAATCTAGTGAGGCAGTTTCCACATTGCCTCAATGGAAGCTACGCCCCTGAAAGGCTTAGTCTCAATAGATCCTCACGTGCGTTATTGTACTGATTATTTTCTGCTAAATATGAAAGCAGCATTTTGTCCCTAATTTTGAGTAATAATTTTGATTTCCTATTTTTTTTAATACTTTTCTCGACAATTATTTTAATTGCCTCCCCCCCTCCCCTCCCACCCCTCCCTTTAGAAAAAAAATGATGCTACATATCTAAATATTATGCAAGTAAGAACTTTATAAAGCATACGTACTTCATTTTTTTCATTCGGTTAATACCTTTATGTTTTGTTAGGCTTAAATAAGCTTAATTAAGGTAGTATGGGATACCTCCACGTTATGACGTATTTCCGTTTGAAGTATTGTTTTGATTTGCATGAGTGCTTATTATCGGGTCAAAATTTGTAGTTACACCGTTGAAAAGAACACTCTGAAGCCTATTTCAATGCAAGTTCTCACAAGTCGGCATTTTAAGTAAAAACAGACAAAAAAAATCGCAAGTATATAAATTTACTTGATATATAATTGTACAACGGACATTTAAAAAAGCAAACCCCTGTAAAAGGTAGTTTCAACATTGCTGCTTTTGAACACTTTTAAGCAAAAGCTGTATTTCAATTGTTTGAGTAACTGTACAGCACCTTGTGTGCGGTGAGGCATGGATAAGTGCGATTACTTCACATTGTGCTGAATTATCACCAATCAATTATCACGTTAACCACAGCTGGACTTTTTTGTTATTTAATTCAAGAAGTAACTGTTTGGTCACAAATCAGCTAGCTGTTGTATATAGTCCCAAAACGTTCAGATGAATGCAATTGCTCTGAACAAGACACGTCCTGGAAAGCGATTGTCCATGCATTGTTTTCAAAACCGCTCAAAGTTGAAAACTACAAAGTGCGATTTTTTTATGGTTGGGAAAAAATGCTCATCATTTCTAAAATAGCACCCAGGTTTTTTCAACCCTTGGAAAATAAAGAAGGATAACTCTTCCGCTCGGATCTTTTAATTCAAAAAATTTTAAATGCATTTTAAATTTTCCATTTATACATATATTTTCAATTTGTTTATTTCACTTTGCTAACATATTAAGATATATTCTTATTGTAGACTTTCATGAAATGCTATCCGTCTGTTTTCAAGAAATAAAGTTTTCCCAGTTTTTTACGCTTATTTTTTGTTGAAAATTAAAAAAATACTAAGACATATTTCTTGTCATTTTTGTTTTTATATACACTTTATATTAGCAAACGCCTGCCTATAATATTAAGCTTATGAAAAAAGAATTATGCAAGAAAAAAAATCATTTTTGTATTTCTCATTAAAATAATAAAAAAATTATTAAAATTACACTTTAATATACTGAAAGGTGGGGGTATTTCAAATCCTTCTAATTTGGGTACATAAATATGTAAGAGAAGTTTCATTTGGTATCCCATACCACCTTAAATAGGCATAATAAATATGGTACATGTAGACTCAGTACTTTCAGTACTTTGATCAATACAGTAAACAGGTAAATCCTCGCCTAATCTGGAGTCCTTAAACGAATGTGTATAGCCAAAATAAAAATTTTAAATTAAACACTAGAAAAACCAGTAGACATATCATAATCTTACAAGAAAATGTAGACGCAAGGTCGATTTTTACCTGCAATACAGTAATATACGAAATCAACCGAGGTTTGCCGAGAGACGCATTAAAGCTATGAAAAAATCCAAAAAATATCGAACGTGCATCATCCGCATGCGTGTGGCTTATTGGCATCGAGGAAGGACAAGGCCTGAAGGGGAAAAAAAGGCGAAGGTGAGAACGTAATATATGTATATTTGTGTAAGTCTTTGGATTATTCAAAAGAAATAAAAGGAAATGTTTTTTTGTTACCTTAAATATTATGGGGAGAAGGACTTTTAAAGTAAGCAAGTCGTTAGACCTAATATTGAGCCGGCCTACGTGAACGGGCAAACGTGTATGCATCATTGCATGTTGGAAACGATAATTTATTGTTGTGTACCACAGGGCTCTGAAAGAAACTAGAAAAAGGAATATATATTTGGAACTCCTGCATGCACACTGTTCTATATATCCTTATCCGGGGTCCCCAATTGGATTTGTATTGTTGTTTTTCGGTTATGGATGTAGAGTTGAACACATGCGCAAAAATAATTTTAAGGTAAACCCAGTCAACAGGTCAAGGCCTAAAGGTCCGGTGCAAAAATGGGTATGTTGTGTACTATAAACCTGTGTTTTCAGAGGCTGTGTGCACAGTATGTGAACAGTACACTGGTGTATGCTCAGTCATTTTCTCCCCAAGTGTGTTGTGAATTGTCTCAGGCCTTTGAAAATGTAGGCATTGTATAAGTCTATTTTATTTTCCAGAATGTAATATTTCCTCTTCTTAATGTTGTCACCTGCATGGAGCAAAGGTCTTAATTCATTGTAATTTAATTCTGGTTGTAACACATCATTTGATTGGATAAAAAAAATTATATTGTATAAACTGCATTGCATACGTCATAATGACTTGCGTCAAATACATATATTGATCCACCTGATTTTACATTTAAATTTTGTGCAATTTGAAGAAAATTTTAAAGGTAATCATCTTATTTTCTTATACTAAATGAATGAAAACTAAATTATAAGGAATGAATTTAATAGCTACTCAATTTATACAGTATAACCTGGGTTGGAACAGTTTACGCTCTTTTATAAACCACTTCACGGTTTAGAAAGCGTAAACTGCCCCAACCCAGTTTATACCTTATAAATTGGGTAGCTATTAAAATCTTTCTTTAATTAAAGCTGTGGATTACACAAGAAGTTGATCCTTATGCCACAGGTGTGAATCCCGGTTTGGGGCTCAGATGCCAGATCCTTTGGGTGATACATATAAATTGCTGTGTGCAGTGTCACTGTAAATCTTTGCATTCAAAAGATCTGCACAAGGCACTTATGGCCATTGGCAGTGGGTTATCTTTTTCATGCCAGCACCTACTGAAATATATATGGGACCTGTTTATATAACAGTCTCATCTGAAGGAATGGTCTCCATGCCCCATGTGGAGTTTAAACCTGCAAAGTAAGAATCAACTCCACTACTAGAGAACAAAATGCTCTTACCATTGCTCTATCATGAAGGTGACAAAGTTTTTGGAGCAGTAGTATTTGCAAGCAGCTAAAAGCTCTATCTGGACCAAAACTTTGCATGTATGATGCATCTTTAATAGGGATGCACACTACCAGACATGCTCTGTGTGCTGCAACTGACTCAAATTTTCTGGATGGTTAAGCAGTTTTCAAAAAAATTACATTCCCAAGTACTGTATAGGGGATATATTTCACGGGTTGTAATTTTCATGTTTTTTTCTCCTTCGACACGATCGCGGTTTGTTGAATTCGCGGAATAGGTATATAATTAAAGTTACCTCCCTTGTCTTTATTCGTGTAATCCGTAGCATAGCTAGAACAACATTAATCAGCATTACCTGTATGTATTCATTTCACAAATGACAGGGTAGATTGATATAAAATGATAAGATTTAGTAATTGATGATTAGTCAAAGCAAGTGCCGCTATTAAAGGTCTTTGACTATAAACGTTGAATGACTTAATTATTTCCTATACATGTAAGCTTTTACGATGAGTGCAGCGATGTACACCCCAAGATCTTTCCGAAGGGATAACACATCGCAGCGAAAAAAAAAAACACTGGATGATAATAAAGACTTTGGTTATCTAGGTTGACGTAATAATATCCTTCCATATCTACAGCAAGTTCGATAGTAATTATTCGAATGATATTTTTTTTCAACCAAAATGTCGATAAAAACTAATACGCATGATAATATGCAGGTAACAAATACACGTGGTAACGATAGTTACGCACGGGTAATTAAAACCCATGACACAAGTGTTTTGACTGATGAAACATGTAGCGTTGGCTATTAAAACAGCTTTTTCACAATAAATTCAGGTTATTAGCTGCTTATTTGAATTAAAGTAAAGCGTGATAATTAAAATAATGGAATGACAAGTACTACTCATAATTATTGAATGACCATGTATTGTATGTATATTATATACCTATCAAAGTCTTTTCTCAGATTTCCAAATAAAACATGGAGGTTATTGAAAACTTATTCACTGTTTCTTGAAATCACGGATTTATTAAGACCGTGAATATAGCGAATATTAACACCGCAAGTTATTTTCCACAGTAATTTTTCCATACAGTAACTACACTTGACACTATATATTTAGAAGGGAGTCATCACCAATTATCAAATCTGAGTAGGATTGTCACCAGAGGGCGCTTGCACCTAACTAAGGGTGACAACCCTACTCAGACCTGATAATTGGTGGTGTCTCCCTTCCATAATTGTTTAATTATCCTTAAGAATCTAAATTATTTATAAAATAGGGTAGAAAATATCAGTCAAACCTTGTCTGTTCTCCTACTCAATGCTCCGATTCCATACTTTAAAAATATGTTAACAGACAACTTTGACATCACCGTTAGAATAGAATGTTTACTGATCCTGCATATGTGATATGGTTATAAATATGAGTTATCTTGCTTAAGACACTTAATTTATTTTCATCTAAAGGGAGATAACACAGTTGTTATCCTACATGCTTGCTTGCACTATTTCATTGTCATCTGAAGGGGGCAACACAGTTGTCACCCTGAGTGCGAGGGGGGCATCGCATATTGTCTCCCCGCATGTGACGTGCTCTAAACCAATCAGATTGTCTGTATAATTCTGAAGGATAATAATAATGTTTGTCTGCTTGTCCGATACCAGTGTAAATTTTTCACAGACAAGTGAATATTGCTGGATAGATGTCCTATTGGACAAGTGATTTTTATGTGGGGAAAAAAAAACCCCCAAAAACTTAGAAACTGTTTTCAACTTTGTATCTGAAGTTCAAAAACAGTGCATAAATAATATTGAACATGTTGAAGTTACCAGTCTATGCGAAAGACATTGGACTGTTGGACCTGACCGATGTGCAGTGCCTCTGGTCCGATGCGTCATTTTTCACACCAGACCAGAATGTCTGATGTCTCAGCGTCCGGTTTTGAGCTTTACTATTTTGATGCGGAGTCATTCAAATGTTTGTTATAAGTAAAAAAAATATTGCACAAATCCAAATACGTAAATGAATTGATTAAAACTGCATGGACCGTCTACAGTAATAAGATTTCCTTGGTTCTGCATTTTCACGTATTTCACTTTTTTACATTAGGTTTTTCGGTCTGACAAAATTTGGTTCGGTCCTGTGTGTTCATTGATTACACAGGACCGAATGTCCTGTGTGGTCCAAAAAAGTTTCGCATAGACTGAGTTACATCCATCCCTATTGTATATTAGTATTTCAATCTGTCCAAACTCGATCAGGGTCGAAGTTCACTACTTGCACATTTCTGTTGATTTTGAACTTGATCATGTTGAATAGATTCATGGATCTGACAAAGTTCGGGTTTTTAGCTCACCTGAGCCGAAGGCTCAAGTGAGCTTTTCTGATCACATTTTGTCTGTAGTCCGTCTGTCCGTCTGTCCGTCTGTCTGTCCGTCTGTCCGTCTGTAAACTTTTCACATTTTCGACTTCTTCTCAAGAACCACTGGGCCAATTTCAACCAAACTTGCCACAAAGTATCCTTGGGTAAAGGGGATTCAAATTTGTTCAAATGAAGGGCCACGCCTTCTTCCAAGGGGAGATAATTAAGAATTCGTGAAAAATTAATGGCATCATTAAAAAATCTTCTTCTCAAGAACCACTGTGCTTGAAAATATGAAACTTATGTGGAAGCATCCTCAGGTAGTGTAGATTCAAGTTTGTTCAAATCATGACCCCCGGGGGTCGGGTGGGGCCACAACAGGCGATCAAAGTTTAACATAGGAATATATAGGAAAAATCTTTAAAAATCTTCTTCTCAAGAACAACAAAGCCATGATTGGTCATATTTATATGGTAGCATCCTCAGATAGTGTAGATTCAAGTTTGTTCAAATCATGACCCCCGGGGGTCGGGTGGGGCCACAACAGGCGATCAAAGTTTTATATAGGAATATATAGGAAAAATCTTTAAAAATCTTCTTCTCAAGAACAGCAAAGCCATGATTGGTCATATTTACTTGGAAGCATCCTCAGATAGTGTAGATTCAAGTTTGTTCAAATCATGACCCCCGGGGGTCGGGTGGGGCCACAATGGGCGATCAAAGTTTTACATAGGAATATATAGGAAAAATCATTAAAAATCTTCTTCTCAAGAACAACAAAGCCATGATTGGTCATATTTACGTGGAAGCATCCTCAGATAGTGTAGATTCAAGTTTGTTCAAATCATGACCCCCGGGGGTCGGGTGGGGCCACAATGGGCGATCAAAGTTTTACATAGGAATATATAGGAAAAATCTTTAAAAATCTTCTTCTCAAGAACAACAAAGCCATGATTGGTCATATTTATATGGAAGCATCCTCAGATAGTGTACATTCAAATTTGTTCAAATCATGACCCCCGGGGGTCGGGTGGGGCCACAATGGGCGATCAAAGTTTTACATAGGAATATATAGGAAAAATCATTAAAAATCTTCTTCTCAAGAACAGCAAAGCCATGATTGGTCATATTTACGTGGAAGCATCCTCAGATAGTGTAGATTCAAGTTTGTTCAAATCATGACCCCCGGGGGTCGGGTGGGGCCACAATGGGCGATCAAAGTTTTACATAGGAATATATAGGAAAAATCTTTAAAAATCTACTTCTCAAGAACAGCAAAGCCATGATTGGTCATATTTACATGGTAGCATCCTCAGATAGTGTAGATTCAAGTTTGTTCAAATCATGACTCCCGGGGGTCAGGTGGGGCCACAATGGGCGATCAAAGTTTTACATAGGAATATATAGGAAAAATCTTTAAAAATCTTCTTCTCAAGAACAACAAAGCCATGATTGGTCATATTTACATGGTAGCATCCTCAGGTAGTGTAGATTCAAATTTGTTCAACTCATGATTCCCGGGGGTCAGGTGGGGCCACAATGGGCGATCAAAGTTTTACATAGGAATATATAGGAAAAATCTTTAAAAATTTTCTTCTCAAGAACAGCAAAGCCATGATTGGTCATATTTAAATGGAAGCATCCTCGGATAATGTAGATTCAAATTTGTTCAATTCATAACCCGCCCTACCCCCCCCCCCCCCCCCCCCCCCCCCACCCAACCACTTTTATATTTAAACTTTTCAACCTTTCAAGACTGAACTGATTTCTGCTTTACCTAGCCATAGTGCTCAGGTGAGCGATGTGGCCCCTGGGCCTCTTGTTAGCATCACAGCTGACGTTGAAAACATTTCTTGTAAATAATAAATTCTCCCTACTAGCAGAACATTCATTTAGATTGAGAATTTGCTTTGCTTTTTGTTTACTTTGTCAAGTGAACTTTATAATCTTTGATTACATATGTGTTTAAATGTGTTTTCATTTAGGGAATATTTCCTGTTAATTTTAAACCCTGATAATACTGTGGTAATAACAAAGACTCTTGGGTTCTTGTAATTTTAAAATTAACTAACTATTCTTGTATTTTTTAGGATTTTGATCAAAGAAATACACAGAAGTCATGACTCTAAAAGTTGGAATTAATGGGTATGATATGCACTTGATAATTTAAGCCTTAAATGGCAAACTTTGATGCATTTCAGTCGCAAAGCAGGCATCAAACTTTGACATGTCCATTTTAGGTCACGGAAGGCACTTTTTCCATCCTTTCTTATCTTTCATTGTCAATCTGTGAAATTATTAGTACTTTCATAATTAATGAAAAAAATTAAAGGATAAAGATTTGTATTCAGAAGTTCATACTACCCTCATATTCAAGTACATTTTAGTGTGCTGTAATTTGTAGATTTGGGCGAATTGGCCGCTTGGTACTGAGAGCAGCTTTGGATAAAGGACTTGATGTAGTAGCAGTCAATGACCCTTTCATTGACCTAGAGTATATGGTATGGCTTCAGATGTTTACTTTGATTGATTGAGTATAAATGACTCATGAGTCATTTATATCAAAAGGACTCTGTTTTGCCTAAATAACTATCGCTTTATTTTTTTTTGTAATGATAGCGATTTTATCACAAAATAAAAAAATATTTTTACTATTAGTTGATTTGTTTGAAAGCTTAAAAATTACTCAAAAAAAAAAATCAAACTAAAAAAAGTCTTATAAATAAGTGTGTCTGCTTACATTGTACAATGTCATGTATATCTCTGCTGCAAAGTTAAATGCATCTTTTTAACTTTTTCAAGGTAATTAAATGCAATCTGAATGTTATGAAGATAAGGAAAATTGTCTTGAGGCCAAATAAAATTAATTAATAGTTTCTCAGGCCAAAAAATTCGAAATTCAATGCGGCAGGCAGTTTTTTTTCTTTTTATGTTTTTTTTTTGTGAAGAAGGTGTTATACCTTTTTTTTAAGTAAGTCGTTCAAAAGAATGATAATATCAACTGATTCTTACTTTTTTGTTCTCTTTCATTAATTATAATATGTATTCAACTTTAAATAATGTTATTCCAAACATTTGTTTAAAAGTTAATTAATAAAATACAGTATTAACAAGAAATATATTGTTCATCTAATAAAAACGTCTATCTATTAGCATTTATGAAAAGGGGAATAACTTTTTTTTCTTTTTCAACTTGGAAAAATAGAAAATTGAGTTATTTCCCTTTTCAAAATGTCAATAAAATTGATTAATGCGGCAGTATTTGACCTGATGGGGCGGTGCCTGAGAAACTGTTTATTAATTTTTTTTGGCCATATTGAAGGAATTGCATGAAAATAAGATCAAGGCAATAATAAAAGATTATGCTTAAGGATACACCAAAGGTTTCCAAACGCTAGAATTTAATTTGCATGTAATTCTTTCATTATCAAAGATAACATAATAAAAGTATATATCATTTGAAAGCTTGTTAAATTTACTATTTAATTATCCTAATTTAAACTTTAATTAATAACTTATTTAAAAATTATTTAAATATTAATGTAAATTTTAGTGCTTAAATATTTTATAAATCAACTTTTTTGTATTTAACCCCTCAAAGTGGTCATTTTGCCTCAAGGTAGATTAAAGATTGAACTTAAAAACTGTATCTCAGATTTTTGATAAATCTTCTAATTCAAAAGTTACAGCCATTTGCCCTTCAATGTTACCAATTTATTAGCCTAATTTAACATTTCCCTCAATAATTCCAAAACTAAGCTAGATATCAAAAATCTGAGATACGGTTTTGTGAACACACATTTGAGAAGAAGCCCATCCAATTTTCAGAGAAATTGGTCAATAAATGAGGGAGCTGAATCCTTTGAAATAATACCACAAACTGTCTGATCTTACTTTACAGTAGAGGGCAAAAACCCATTACACAACAAAATCTGCCAAAGCTAGGAATATATGACACCTTGGAGATTCAGCTTTGGATACCTGTCACTTAGCGCTATTTCCTATGCATATTCACAAGAATGGGAGGTTCTTTTCTGTATTTAGATGCTTTTAATGAAGTAAAATAGGTTCAATTCTGAATCAGAAAGATTTCCTGGCAAAATGGCAAGAGCTAAGCTCCACCTCCTATTTTATGGTCATCAGTGATCTGTTAGATCTCCTTCTCTAAATCTAGAATCCCTGTAGTTTAATTACTGATAATCTCTTTGTGGCTAGTGAAGAATTCCCCAAGTGGTCACAGTGATTTATTGCGTCTTTCATGAGCAGGCAGTCACAGATCAAATCAGAAGCTTCAATAATGGAACATTCACATGTGATAGTGTTTATGTTTCATTATTGTTAAATAATTAGAAAACCATTTCATAATTACCAAGAATTTTACATGCATTATAAAGCAGTGATTAACTTCTTTTTCTTAGCCAAAAATCTCAAAATTGTTGAAAATCTTGAAAAAAGCCTTTGGTGTATCCTTAACCAAAGTTTTGAATTTGATGTATATCAAAATCTCGATTATGCATAGGACAGAAATGAGAAATGTAAATATTCACAGAAATATTTTGATTTGTGTGTAAAGTCACAATGTACTAAATAGGGCCATTACGTGGCTGTAGTTGGAGAAAATGTATGACAACCCATTCTTTGTTTACACTTAGGATATACCTTGTACACCATTTGCCAAAATGCATGACAGTGTCAAAGGCTCCATTTTTGGAGTTCACTCCTATATTGGAGTTCCTCTAAACTGATAAAATATATAAAATGAGTTATGATCTCATCATTTTTCTAAGTGTTGCTAAAATTACATGGTATTCCTGTATTGAATAAGGTCCAGTGATTGAACTTTGAAGCTAAGTTTGATTTCTATATAATACAGGTCTACATGTTCCGTTATGATTCAACTCATGGAGTATTTGAAGGTGAAATCAAAACCGAAGGTGGAAAATTGGTGATCAATGGAAAGGCTATGTCTGTATATGCAGAGTAAGTTTTATAAAATATTTCAATATGTAAATTTAAAGTCATCATTTAGTTTCAATGTCTTTAGGTATTTCCATATAAAATATGATATGTATTGCTCAGAAGTTTATTGAAAATATTAAATTATGTTATAATAGCATTGCTTTTCTTTATTTTATCCGAGATTAATTTTCTGACATCCGAGTTTAATAATTGTTTATACTTGAAGAAGAAATAATCTATATCATTGTGATTAGCTAGTTTCCCATTTCAGAACAGAGAACACAATTCCTAAAAAATGTGGAGGTACATATTATGATACAATATGAATGTATCAGGGTATATCATGATACACTTCAGCTGTATCGTCACACACTACTAGTTGTGGTGATAAAACTTAAAAGCTACTGAATTCAAACTTTCAAATGTTTTTCTGTGTAGGAGAGATCCAGCAAACATTCCGTGGTCCAAAGACCAAGCCGAGTACATTGTAGATTCCACTGGATGCTTCACAACTTTGGACAAAGCAGGAGTATGTAATATTAATGAATGTCTTTCATGCTTTTCTATACCTTTTTGTTTTGATTACTATTTATTACCCAGATCAACAGTCAAGATCACTTTTTCCATCTTATTTAGCCTCCTCACATTGGTCTAGCATTAGCATTTATTGTTTGTAAACTAAATATCAAAATGATATGTGTATTAATCCTAGAGTCTTTAATGAAAGATTTATGAAGAATCCTTTTATTTTTGATTTCTGATTTGTATTTAAGATGTTGCCTGTGTTTCCAAAAATAATAATCTATGACATTATTTCAAAATGCCATTTCTCCTACAAATTTTGGCTCACCTGAGCATAAAGGATCAAGTGATCTTTACTGATCGAAATTTGTCTATTATCTGTGTTGTTGACATCTTCATCTTCAGAACCACTGGGCCAATTTCAAATTTCAGTAGTTACTCAGATCAACAGTCAGGATCACTTTTCTGTCCATCATATTTGCCCTTGATCCATACATTGGTCAATTATTTACCGTTTCAATTTTTTTTTTTTCAAAAGTTGACTGAACTTACCAGAGAGTGTCCTTGAGTTTCAAGGGGAGATAATCAAAAATGTTAAAAATTTAGTGAGGGTCATATAAATACATGTATCTTCTTTCTTAAGAACCATTGGGCCCCAAAAATATAGCTGAATATGAGAAAGCTTTCTGACATAGTGCAGATTCAAGTTTGTTCTAATCATGCCCCCTGGGGGGTAGGGTGGGGCCACAATAGAGGATCATAGTTTTACATGGGATGATATTGGTAAAATCTGTAAAAATCATCTTTTCAAAGTTTTACAGGTAAAAATGTCCTTTATAAATTCAAAGATATAATGCATCCTTACAGTTGATGGATAATAACATCATTACATGTTCTATTTTGTAGGTTTTTTTTTAATTGTTAATTGTCGTAGCAATATTCTATTTGCTATCCTACATGTTTTCTTCTTTTTTTCTAATTGTTGAATTACATGTATCAAACAAGTATAGCTTTTTCAAAAAGCTTACCGTCTTTAGCAACAACCTTAAACAGTATACTGACCTAAACCTATCAGGCCGTATAATTCTTGAAAATTTATTGACTATTAATTTCTTCATTAGTTTTTTTCTGACATAAGCCCTACCAAGTGAAAGGTTAACGGATGCTTGATTGTCTCCGTAAACTTTGACTCTGCTGCCGAGATCATTCGGCAAATCTCAGCTGATCCCGTCACCTTTGTAATATGTAGACGCCGAGTGCTGCCGAGATAAGAAGACAGTGCAAAAGAATACATACAAGCTGTAAAGCTTGCATGCAATAAAGATCAATTCTGTTAACAATGAAAATATAAAAACGTTTTTGGTAATTGCTTTAAAAAAAAAAAAAAAAAAAAAGCATGTTATTTCGAATTAATTATTGCCAATTTCCACTGTTCGTTTTGTCATATTTTTTTACGATTGAAAATCTTGAAAAATTGTAAAGTCGTACGAAAATTAGATCATCAGAAAATTATCTCCCTTGCCTTGAACAGCATTTCAACCAATGAAATAATTGAAAATTTTCTCATCATGCAATTTCTACCAATCACAAAAGAGAGGAAGTACATAGTCTGAAGACTGTAAAATACTTCAACTCTGTATACTGTCTTCCAAGGAAGACGGTAATAAATCCCCTGACCAAACCTAGATACATCCCTTTTATTATTTTCATTTAAAAAATTTTCTCAAACTGTTATGTATATTTCAGGCCCATATGAAAGGAGGTGCCAAGAAAGTAATAATCTCAGCCCCATCAGCTGATGCCCCAATGTTTGTTTGTGGTGTCAATGAAGAAAAATACTCCAAGGATCTAAAAATTGTCAGGTAAATTCAAATATTTACCGGACTGAATCTTTACTCAAACAGTCCCAATAACAATATATTGTATTGATAAAATTATCTTGAAGGGGAAACTTTAACATAGGATTTGTAAGATGCACATACAGCTGTGTCCCCTTTTGCTAATTAGTGAACATCACTATTAGACCATTATGACATGTCCTTGAGTCAGTATAACAATAAAAATCAGAGTGAAAGTTAACAGCATACAAGGGATTAAATATATAATCAATGCATACAAGGTGTTGATTTGAAAACAATTGTATCATAATTGTCAACATCTCTTTATCAGGTGACTTTGACATTGAGATGTGACCTCTATTCAAAAGTCATGACATCTCTAAACGCCATTTTCACAGTATTTGTGCTAATTGTGTTGCAATTGGACCAAAAAATAAAAAGTCAAACAGCGCATTATTGACATGTTTTCTAGAAAGTACAATACCTATGCAAATGAGTCCCAAATTTTTTTTATATAAGCATTCTTACGAAAAAAGTTATGCGAAGTCAAATTTTGGGCGAGACCTTGTGTTGCGGACGCTACATTACACCTGTTATGTCTAAAATAAAATATTAAAGATATTTATTTATTCCAAACTTCTTGCAGGTTTTGATTATGTACCTAACTGCAGTGAAATAAAAGAAAAATCTTATGGTTCTCTTTGAAAACAAAAATTTTATTCACATTAATGACTTGCTAATTTTTTTGCCTAATTTATCTCCCTTCCTTAAGTTTATCTACTTTTACAATCACACATAAGACATATATAATTATCATGTGAAAATTAAATTGAATACTTCTAAATTTCAAATACATTTGTCATAACACCCTGGATATCTTCGTCTGTATCTTGTCTAGCTTTGAAAATGCATAGCATTTTTGTTGCGGACACTACAAGTAACCATAAGAATAATCTTTTGTCATTTTTATAAAAATAATTGTTGATAAATGTTCATTTCTAGGCTGAATTATATACCACCGGATCAACTCTTGAAAATGTATCATATAAAAAGATGCAGAATGTGGTTTATTGAGATGAAAATAACCACATAACAAGGACCATTAATTATTTCTTGATGTATAATTGTTTTGCAGTTTTAAAAAATGTCTGTGATTTTACTTATTTTAAAACAATTAAAGAAGTTATAACAAATAGTTTTATAGATAAATTCAATGAATTAAAGAATTTACTGAGGCATCCATAATTTTTTTTCAGTATTGAAATTGTTGCGGACACTACAATATATTGAATATTGCTATATGACACCATATTTGGTTTTAATGGAGTAAACTGAAAATCTTAATCTCTAACTAGTTCTATATGTACAGTAAATGGTGTTATATTGTAGGGAAATAAAAAAGGCTAGTCAAAAATGGCTATCCGGCCTGGAAAATAAAACCCATATATATACCACTAAGTTTGAAGTGTTATCTTGTACAAAAATCACCATTTGTTATCTTAATCCAGTTAACTAATTGTATTCTCAAAGGAGCCAAATATCAGAGAAGTGTTTTACATTTCAAAAATATTTAATGAAAAAAAAAGTGAAAATAATAAATGAATGTGGTATATAGTTATTACTGTAGTGTCCGCAACACAACTGTATTAATTAGAACTAGACTTATTAATTAACAATTAACATCTTGATATATTCTTTAGTTTCCACTTATTCAGTTTTAAATACCACATGAAAATTAACTTTCAATATATAACATAAGACTGACAATTGAAAGATTTTGAATATTATGTATAAACAAGTCGTTACGGGTGTTATTCAAAGTATGAAGTTATAGTTCCACTAAGTTTTGTAACCTTACATATTTGTATTGAATATTTGGACAATTATAGTGATGATCAATTGAAATCATGTTACATTTCTTTGAAGAAACTGTGAATTTAAAAAGCTGTTGCGGACTCAACAGCGTTGCGGACTCTACAAAACACAATATATTTGCCAGAATTCCAAGCAACACTGAGCTAAAGTCTGATATTTTTTGGTAGATAGATTAGTAGTGTACTGGCCTCTTACATGTAAAATAAAAGAAATATAATTCATAATGCATTCCAGAATAAGCACATGTTGCGGACACTACAGAATTTTGGGAACATTTTTATGCCAGTAAGAAGAAAATGTGTCATTTTCTAAAGTTTCGAAGAATCCACTCAAACTTTTCTTTATTGTTTCATTTATCATTTAACTCTAATTTTAAAATGAACCTAAAGTAAGAGTAATGCATTAACATATATTTTTTTAAACTGCAAGTTCAAACAGTAGAATTTTATTAAATTTCATAACGTATCTGCATTTTCACATATTTAAACATTATTTCACTAATATTTTGTTGATTTACATACAGTAAATTGCATATAAAAGAGGGATAATTTCACAATGATTTGACATCTATAACTAAGAGTTTCTATTGTAAATCTCCTGAAACAAAAACTGGAAAACAAAGCCATTTTTCAGCTGCAACAGCATAACGCAAAATATACCCCATATTTTAGGTAGTAAATCTTTAATATTTTTATTGTCTAGAACATGGGAGTGTTATGTATCATTTAACTTGTTAGGGGTACCATTTTGTCATAATTTGGTCATAATTGTTAAGGGTTTAATCATATATTTTGATGCAGAGTGCATTATAACATAAGTGAGTATGAAAAAACACAAATACTGTGAAAATGGCGTAAAGCAAAATCTACATGTACCAAAGTTTGAATTAGAGTTAAGAGCTCCTGATTTATGGTTCAAGCAAAATTTCATTCTATATCATTGCTAAAAAAAAGCTTGAATCAACATCCTGACATTCATTTTTGTCAAGTTTGAATCCAAACAAAGGTTCTAGACTTGCAATAATGACATAGATTTCATTATTGCATTGTTCAGTACCATCAACCTTGAGCCATAATCATGACATACATTTAGGTTATGGACAGCAAGACTCAAAACTTTCAATCCATTCCAATCAGGGATTCCAGAATATAGAATTTCTACATCAGCAGGCCTAATTGAGTACTTACTGGGATAGGATCCTGTACCCTTTGGAAATTCATTTTATGTCAAGTGAAATAAATTTTACAGGACATGATTTTGTGACAGACAGACACCTAGCTAAAGAAAAATATTGTATATATCCCTGAATGGCTAGAGGCATTGAAAATGGTACATAACCACAAAACAATAATAGATTTTTGTACATTTTACTTCAGTAATGCATCCTGCACTACAAATTGCCTTGCTCCCCTGGCCAAAGTTATCCATGAGAAATTTGGAATTGTTGAGGGTCTGATGACGACAGTACATGCTTACACAGCCACTCAGAAGGTGGTAGACGGACCTAGCAACAAAGACTGGCGTGGTGGTCGTGGTGCTGCCCAAAATATAATTCCTTCCTCCACTGGAGCAGCCAAAGCTGTAGGAAAGGTCATACCAGATCTGAATGGGTCAGTATATGTTTAGACAACTGTATGCAATAAAAGTTTATTTGGCATTTATATACTATATAGGTCAGGCTCCTTATCCATCAGTTCATTCAACTCTCTCCATCTACTCTGACTTCCCTTGTCTAAAGTTTATTGTCTGTCTCCTTGAAACTGTACCATTCTTGCCTGTAGAGTTTCTTTTGGTAAAATGTGTGCAATGACTTTGAACCAAGTTTCCTAACTAGCATTGCTTCAGTTCATTATGTATGGCATATTTGGTCTCTCTTTTTTAGTCACCTGAGTCACTGAGGTGACCTATTGCTATATTATCAAACTAGCAATATGCTGGTAAATTTTTCGGTATTTTCATCATCTCTGAATTGGCTGAACTCATTTCAACCAACTGCAGTGTGTAGTATCTATGGATGAAGGAGAGAAATTAATAGTATCATGGTCTCAGTCCCCCTTGGGCCCAAGGAGATGGGCTTGAAATCTTAAAATTCACGCAGTCTTCAAAAATCTTTTATGATACACCTGGTCATCAAGCAGGGAAACTACACGAGTAGCTTAACCTTTACCAACATTGTGCTTTGTCAGATGACATCTAGATAGTAATTTCAATATACCTTACTTCAATTTTCTATTGTTTTATTTAGTATGTCGGTATTTTGTTCTAAAAACTCATTGGAACAAGTCTTGTTGATGTTGTTTTAAATGATTAAGCAGTATAGAATTTCATTAGATAAAAGCAAGTAAACAATATTTTAAATAGACATTTGATGTAAACTTTTGCTCAAAATGACTGATTATTTTGACAGAAAACTAACTGGAATGGCATTCCGTGTACCAGTTCCTGATGTTTCAGTGGTAGATCTAACCTGCAGGCTCAGTAAAGGGGTAAGAATAACTTGTGACATATTATCTATCAGGCTAGATTTAACCTGCAACCTAAATCAGATGTAAAATATTATCTATCAGGCTAGGTTTAACCTGCAAGCTCAATCAGGGGTAAGAATACTAACTATCAAGCTAGATTTAAACTGCAGGCTTAGAAACGGGGTAAAATAATTGATAATACCGTATTTATATACCATACTGCTATTAGATACAGGTCTGCTGGATTCCTCAGCTGACTGTCAGGTGATATTTTCCATTTGTCACCCTGAAGATCCGACAGGCTAAATTTTTTGCACAATTACAGTCCAAACTCATTATCTTGAACTTGATGGGACCGAGAAAATACTTTGAGATATCCAATGATATGAGATATCCAGAGTAAAATACTTAAGGAATAAATGGTTGGGACTTCCAAATCACTTCGACATATCCATGGTGTTCGAGATATCAGTGTTCAAGATACCGAAGTTCAACTGTATAATGAGAAACAACCCCTTTACCAAAGTTGTAAAATCCTGATTTCAGTTGGAATGTTTTGATCTTAACATATCTATTTTTCTGCAGGGCTCTATGTGAGGGACAATTGAAAGTTCATTCAGGCTATTTATATTTTATGAATAGGTAGAGTAAACTTGTCTAATCTTGATACCACAGGTTCTAAAGAAATCGGCCAGACTAGACAACATTCCAGAAAAGACAACATGTTTAAACACTTGAATTAATTGAAAGGACTTAAAGTTCAACCATATTGAGCAAGATTTTGGAATACAAATCTGGACTAGACAAGTTTTACAGCATATATATCTTATAATCTTTCTCTTTTTAGATACGTGCATTAGGAAGCATTTTTATGAGCTCTGTATATTTTGAGAAAGTTTATTAAAACCAAGTAATTGTTTCTTTAAGGCATCATACAATGACATCAAAGCAGCCATAAAATCAGCTTCAGAAAATGAACTCAAAGGAATTCTGGGATACACTGAGGATGATGTTGTATCTCAGGACTTCCGTGGAGACAAGAGGAGCAGCATATTTGATGCCAAGGCTGGAATTGCTCTGAATGACAACTTTGTAAAGCTTGTATCATGGTAAGAAAAGTTTATAAATGCCCTACCAATTAAATGCTTTTGGCATATAATGATTGTCATTTCCATTTTCCTTACATTTTTCCATTTGTTAGTCCCACTTTGCATTTGGATAATCTTCAAAGAAACCTTCAAAATATTTCAACCCTACTTTATATAAAGATACCTGTTTGGGGAACGATTCAACTTTGTCATAATGTTTTTTACCTTGACCTCAATTTCCCCGATATTGCAGTTAGCAAACCTCTGAGATAGTTTTATTCAACCGGATGCAGAGATAAAATTTATCAATTCTTTATATAATTGTATCATCATGTTTTAAAATATCTTCACAAAACAAGGCTACAAAATTTCAAAATACTTCGTGTCTTGTTATTTAAATTTTCTAAAATGTTGTCTGTGGTTATCATGTATATTGTGGAATCATAGTTGTTTGTGGGAGACTAAGTAATAGTTTTCTTCAGATAGCATCAAATCTACTGAACCGTAAAATTGCCCCCCTCCCCTCCCCCAACATTGATCCTCCACAATTTAAAATGATTCCACAGTAAACATTGTTCATGTAAATTTTTTAGCCATATATTTTTTTTCTATATTTACACAGGTATGACAATGAATTTGGATACAGCTACAGGGTAGTGGATCTTATCAAGCACATGTATGATGTAGACACCAAATAAAATGGACAAAGACTCTTAGTCGTTTTATAGTATCATTGTTTTGGGTTTCTTGTGTATGTTTTATGCTTTATTTTATTTAATAGTAGAGGTTAATAGTAATTAATCCTAATCAAATAATGGTGCATACTCTAAATTGAATCTTCCTGTTAGTGCTTTGAAGTCAAACAAAATGCTGTCAAGCTTTCTTATGCTGAGGCTATGATAAATTTTTTCGATGATAAACTTTTTTATTCAGTTGATATTTTTAGATTATATGAACTCTTTCAATACTTGTTAAATTATTGCATTTCACAAAATAAAATGTTCATCCTGGATTCTAGATTTTGTTTGACAAACTACTGAAAGACATTCTGCAAAGGTGTCTCTGGATCTAAGTACAACTGGGTGTTGTGCATCAGTGGGGAAAAAAGTGGAACAAGTTTGAATTTCTTGGTTCCTGCACCCCTAAGGAGGTCACTGGGACCAAAATCATAACAAGAGGCCTATGGGCCTTAAAAGTCACCTTTATCCATCATTTACATCCCCACAAACAATTATTTTGTCAACATTCATCAACTGTATATAAATTGAATTTTCTGTGTATACATACGAGTTAACCGTGAAATTACGTCCTTACCTATAAAATTTTACTTGTCTACAAACACTGACCCCTATGAATTAAAATGATTCCACAGTAAGTTTCAAATATTAATCTGACTCGGTGGTTCTTGAGATTATTTGTATTTAACCCTACCCTTTTTGCTCTTTCTTTCTCACTTTTCCGAACCTTCTGGAATTTGCCTGCCCGCTTTCCAAAAACGATACTACTGCCTGCAAAAAGTGGGGGAGCAAGCAGCAACTACATGAAAATTTACACATACAATGTAATAACAACAGCAAACGACTATTCTTAGACCCCCCCCCCCGGCTCCCCGCATACCACGGGCCTGAGAAATTCAAGAAACTCTAGAGATTCCAAGACCAATAAGCCTTGTATTTTTATTAAATCTTCAGTCTTGGAAGCATGAATTTTTATTGGTAACCTGATTTACTTACATGACCTATTTCTAATCACGCTATCATCATGCATCTTGCAATATTTTCCAGTAATATTTTTGCCACATTGTTGAATTGATTAGAGAATCAGTTACTACTCTCGTCAGTATGAGTCCACGGATAATGACAGACCTGACTCTCTACTTCGTGAAGAAACTTAATTAAATTATAATATGTACATTAAAAAACAAACTTTATTACTTTATACAGATTTTTTTTTCATTTTGCGGCAGCGATTCTACAATAGATTTTCATACTCTACTTCTTTTCAGTGTTTTAATCCTTTCCTTGATTACTTCACTTGAACAAACCTATGCCGTGTTTATCAAAAGTTTCAAAATGTGTATTAGTAGACGAAATTCAGCATGAAAAACTCACTTCAGCCTTTGGTATGAGTGAGCTAAAATAATCTCTCACTAGATGTTAAACATGACTAGGGTATCCTCCTTAGACTTCAAATTATTATCACCGAAATGCGATTTAAGGATAAGTAACACAAACTTTTTTTTCAGAAATCGGCAATATTTCTCATAGATTTACATTCAAATAAGTACCCTGAATGATGTTTACCAGGTAAAGTGGGAGAACTTTGTAAGATTTTGTCGCAATGTTAAAAATATGTACAAATTTTTGTAAAGAATTAAACTTACGATTTCTTTATATTTTAGGGATTTATTATTTATGTCATTTCTATTCAAAATCAGTCAATATATATATATATATATATATATCAATCCAGGCATCAAATTTTTGTTTGTGTTATGTATCCTTAAGAGGGCATAAAAATGTTTTCTTTCGGTTGTTCTTTACAATTTTTGAAGGAGTCATTGAAGAAGATGGCAGTGGAAAAATCTTTTCTTTAATTTTCACTGTTTCCAATACATAATAAGCGGGATTTGCGCCTGCTGACCGCTTCTATCAGATCCCCGCGGACTTCCGTCAGTGTCCGCCACTCAATCTCGGACAAACCATGTATAGCCAGGGTTATAGCATGTAGATCTGAAATCATGTGAACAAAACATAGGTTATATATATATATATATATATATATATATATATATATATATATATATATATATATATATAAGTTTATAAAATTTTATGTTATAAAACATCATCCCCGAAGCAAGTCAAGTAGTCTGCATCGTTAGATGTATCATCTATGCAAGTTTGGTCAACATAGGCCTTATAGTTACTTTAGAATGATTGATTGATTGATTGGTTGTATGTTGTTTTACGTCCCGTTCGAGAATTTTTCACTCGGATAGAGACTTCACCATATACCGGTGAAGGGCTTCAAGTTTAGACCTTTACTCGCCACTCAGGGCCATTGAGCAGTGATGGTTCTTTATCGTGCCAACGCCTACTGTGACACGGGGCCTCGGTTTTCAAGGTCTCATCCGAAGGACCCGCAACTTTCACTTCAAAGTGCCGAGCGCTTGGCGAAGGAACAGTTGCTACTTATTTTTTTTTTTATCGACTTGGGTCAGTCGCGGCCGTGATTCAAACACACGACCTTCCGATCACGGAGCGAGCGCTCGATCGACTGAGCTGCCGTGACGGCTACTTTAGAATGAAGCTGCTCCAAAAAACCTGAAACCTGGTCACTCATCCGGAAAATGTATCTCAGATCCAGCCTCCGAAGCATACCTGGTAGCGTGCATCCTTAGAGTATCATATATGCAAGTTTGGTCAATATAGGGTGTATAGTTACTTTAAAAATGAATCTGCTCCAAAAACTTTAACCTGGTCACTCATCCGGAAAATGTAGGCCAGATCCAGCATCCGAAGCAAGCCTGATAATGTGCATCCTTAGATGTATCATCCACGCAAGTGTGGTCAACAAAGGGCTTATAGTTAATTGGAAATGAGATTTAACCTGCTCCAAAAACCTTAACCTGCACTAAAACTATTAACCCGGTCATTCTTTAGCTGAATCTGCAGCATCTGAAACCTTGATTGGTACAATGAAACACACTAGAAGCATCTTCCATGCTTCTCTGATTAATGTGGGGCACAGAAGTATATACTTAAAAGAAAACTGCACCAAAAACTTTAACCTGGGAGCCGAGGGTATCACATAAGATCCCTCTCCCCCAACCTCGTTGAGATGATCTAAAAATTAATCTTGTTATTATATATTTATTTTTTTTTGAAGGGAGGGAATAAGATCTGACATGTAGGTAGACATAGTTATGCCTAATTCGAATTAGCGAAATTTTGAACCCCTTTAAAATTATCCTCTGCTCGTGTCCTATATATTTTTTCATACCTATCATTCGTTGCTGTTGCATCTGGCACATTGCTTGGACTGTTTCAACCCGGATTTTGCAATATAAGTTCAATTCTTTCAGTTGTTTACATCTTTTGAGTACTAGCAGAAGATCCGAGTCAATTGGCGGATTGCGGTCCAAGTGCAAAGTTAAGCATTCTAGAGAGAATCGTGAACTGATTAAGAAATGAGACGTTATTAAAAATTTTGTTTTAAATCGCCACAAAAAATAGCGGCCGTTTTTCATGTTATCATTTTTAACTTAAGATTAAAAATTGATAAGCGTTTCAGAATCAAAATTAAGTTGATTACGTTGTAAATTCCTTCCTATTTTAAACCACAAAGACCTACATATACATTTATTTATTTTTCCCACATCTTTATTCTTCTATCGGTGTGATTGAATTTTTACCTAAACGATGACAAAACGTCGTTGATATGTGACCAAGAGTTCTTGAAATTTGTGATTCCAGGGCTCTTCTGGCACTCTCAGTGGACGGCCAAGAAACAATGTCTATTTCCTTCAATGGGATTCCAGAAACAAGAATTGATGGCACATCTTGTTTAAATGCGGAAGCATAAATGTACAGCACAACCTCGACGTTTTGACAATTGCTAGAAAAATCGTTCCAGTGTTTGTTTTGTATTATATTTGAGCTGACATCAGAGTCTATCGTTAAGGTTAACTTATGAAACTGTTTCCCCATATGTTTGGATATGTTCGACAATATTGCGCTATTAATTGTATTATAGTTTGTATACATCCATGAAATACTTTTGAATTTAGTGATAGCCGACGTGTATCTTTCGTGTCTATTTGGAGAGACATGAGCCTGAAACATGTCTTCTATGAATGCTGTTTTTAAAGTCTTTGAAGCCTTTCCTCTTCCAAGGGATTCTAAAACTCGGCAACCATCTGTCAGCGACATTTTGGCTGCAATAAAATTAATCAATGAAACCTCTTGCAAACTTCTCAAGAACTTACACAAAGCCGAAATAATACGGTTTCTAGACAAAATGAAATGCCAGTGTACCTCCATATTGGCGTTTTGAAGTGTAAATTCTCTGATTCGCAAGTCCGAAATACAAGAAGCTTTTCTAAAAAACAATTCCGAAGCCTTCGAAATTTGTTTCGCATTCCGGAAATTTGGAGAAGAAAATCCAACAGTAAGGTCTTTTAAGTTTTTCCCAAACGACTTCAGAAATCCCAAAGACTTGGTTGCTACAGTAAAGGGATTTTCTGCACTAAATATCACTCTTCTTGCTCTCCAAAGTTGTGGGCTCTGAAATATTCGGTGCCAATTTTTACACACAAGCGCAGTTGTCAAACGATCCTCATCCCCAAGTTGAGAAAATACCTCCAAAAGAACCAAATCTGGCAAAACGTTCCAGTCCGATAAACCCATGATGGCTGTCGCGTATGATTTGTGACGTTACCATGGAAGTACATGTCTTCGCATGAACAAACCAATGACGTAAACAACGTATTACTACAAAAAGAAACCCTTTTTGTCTTGTTTTTTTTAAAATAAAAAAAGAAATCTTGAAATTAAATACGATATTGATCGTATCAATCATTTAAACATCAGTATGAATGACATATTGGACGTTGCATCACTCGCAATAAGGTTTTCAGGATGTCCATAATTTGGGCGGATATACGTCATATGTAGACTTACCACATCTTATATGAACGGTTACATGAATGGTTATACACGTCTTCCGTATTTCATTCACAATCAATGATATAATAAAATTTTTGCTGTGTTGCTACTACTCATAGCTTAACCGTTACAAAATAGCATAATTGTTTAGAAACAAGATATTCAGCGAATTACTCAACACGTTTCTGATGAGAAAAAAAAGGCAAACACATCAGATGCATTTCACTATATGAATGCCCCATTTAGTTGCATCTCTAAAAAATTATAAATTATTTTTTGTCTTATATAGATCTTATTCTTGTTTTAAAACGTTACTGCAACCTCAAAATGGTTTTGACGTCACAAACAACAATCAAAAACGTCACAGTGCGCCAAAAGTCGCAATGGAAACCGAGGAGCCTTGGATAGTGGCTGCAACTAGCAAGAAATAAAATCTGGCAAGTATTTATGGACTTCAGGAAAAATGGAACAATCTATGTGGGAACATCTTCCAGACGTTGTAATAATTGAGGTTTATAAATACCTCAAGGATGAAGAAAAAGTCAATGCGGCACTAACGTGCAAGAACTGGGGAAGATTGTATTATACACCATGTTTATGGAGGACGAGGCATTTTGATGTTGGTGGATACCGGATACATGCCAATGCTTTGAAGGCCTGTCAGTTTGCTACCCTTCTGGGGAGGCACGTGCATAATTTATCAATCAACTGTAGCCACCCTTCATACCACACAGCTAAACTTTTCCAAAAAACAATGAATGAATTACTTTTTAAAATGCGACACTCAAAATTAATTGAATTCGAATTAGAGAGACTGGAATTAGAACGGTTCTGGAGATGTGAATCGGCAAGGGATCGCCTGATTTCAAGTTTTGTCAGATTTTTCCGCTATCAAAATCGTTTACAGATCTTTGATATGACAGCAGCGCAGTTTTCTTCCATAGGCGGAATTCGTGTTCTGGAAACACTTGGAAGCCAATCCGGAGATACCATAAAAGAAATGTACATAGAGGATTTCTTCCATCCCCGCTTAGCAGTTTTCCAAGTGCCAAGATACATCAATTGTTTAACTTTATTCAAAAGTGTAGAATTCTTAGCGTTAAATTACAACTGTATATCGGAGGAAGTAATCCTCCTTTTTGCTAAAACTTTAGCCGGAAAGCTCGATATGATAAATATCAAAGTTTACAAAAATGACCCAAGATTTCATAGGATAAGTGGAAACGCATGGAGAGAACTTAAACGTGCTTGTCCGAAGGTAATAATAACGTTTTGGTTCGAGAGCATCGGTTTTATGCACGAAATCGTACCGATTCTTGTGAAGGAAATTCCTGTTCGCGATTTTCACATCTGGACAGGTTACGATGATGACGCAGACTGGAGGCTTAATGATACAATACGTCATCTTCACCTAACGTACAAACACTGCATAGGTAGATCAATTTAACATCACTTCATATTATTGAAACCTAACATTCTCTTTCTTTAAAATTGTAAAAAAAAAAAATGCGATTTTTTTGTTTCGATATATCATACTTTATTTCATTGTAGTCTATTTCTAAATAATTGTGTTGCCTTTTTTATGCCCACTATGAAATCAGGCACGTAGTATCGGGAGGGGGGTGTTATCGAGGGGGGACATGTCCCCATTTTTTTCGAAACATTATTTTTTTTTACTATTTAAATGTTCATTGAGAGGCTGGTCCCCCCCCCCTTTTGTTGCAGTATAGTCAAATCAGGATAATGTGGTTATATATATATAAAATTTGGTAATAAAAAAGGGAACCTACCCCCCCCCCCCCACACACACACACGCACTAACACGAAATACCATTTTCGAGTTTTGTTCTTAGTCCCCTACCGGTGAAACCGGAGGGGAATATAGGTTTCCTCTGAGTCTGTCCCACTTGGTTTTCCGCACTTTTTTTCTAAACGCTTGCAAATATTGAGCTGATTTTTGGTATGTGGGTGTATCTTGATGAGTTACAAATCTAGTTTGCATTTCGTTCCGCTTCAATGATTTTTGACGGAATTACGACCTTTTCAGGGTTTCCGCACTTTTTTTTTCTAAACGCTTACAGATATTGAGCTGATTTTTGGTATGTGACTTTACCTTGATGAGTTATAGATCGTTTGCATTTCGTTCCACTACATTGATTTTTGACGGAATTATGGTATTTTCAATTTTTAACGGGAACCAGATAATGAGATTACACTTGCCGGTAGGGGACTAGTATTGCTAATGCAATACTCTCAGAATGCTTGTTTTTTTTTTTTTAGCTTGTCAGACTTTTTTTTTTAGGTAAGTTGATTTTTTCTCTGCCCCCCCCCCCCTTCAAAAACGATACTACGTGCCTGGAAATGGCCGGTTTAGTGTCACTTTGCGTTCAGCTCAGTTTCGAACAAACCACTCAAGATACTTAACAAAATTTACACAAAGATATTGGTGAGAGCCATTCAAATTTGACAATTTTCTGACCATCACTATGATCTTTACTTCACTCTATATACCTCGGTTCAACACATTTTTTTAATTTAAAAAAACAAAAGATATTTGTTAGAGATATCCAAGTATGCAGTATCTACCTGACTATGCTTTTACCTAAGTTCCAAAGTAACAGAGAAGGTCAGTCAGAAAATTATTATACAGTCTCCCCAAATTCGTATCAGTGTATGACTTTTGGTAATAACTTGATTAATGATTCTAACTCTGCATTCACCTCAGTTCTAAATTGATGAAGATATTTTTAGCAAACATAATTTACCGATACAGATTTGCTAAAGCTATTCAACCATGCAACAGTTTTTCGACCTTGACCTTCTCTATGATACTTCATTATTTCTGACTTTGCTTAAAGTAACAGTCCATTCCTACACTGATACCATCTCTATGAAAGACTTTTTATGAAGTGGGCTCTTCAATTAGTGTATTACAGTACGGACCAATAATACAATATTTTACGTAATTTCACCCACTTTGTACAAATGTTTTATACAATATAAACAACAAAATATTTCTCTCTCTCTCTCTCTTTTTGTTGTTGTTGATAAAACATGGATTATCATAAGCAGGTTACATGTTCTTTTCTGCAATTACGCAACTGATACAAATTGGTGAGATTTTTAAACCTATCATAATTTCTGACTTTGACCTTCTCCATGGCTTCCTAACTTCATTTCCAAGATTACATACATATACATACTTGTGAGAGTATACAACTGTGTCATAATTTTCTGGTCTTAAATTTCTATTGACCTTTATCTTCCTATGACCTTGGTCTTCATTTTTCAAGATTTTTTTTTTTAAAATCCAATTTCATTTAGCCGGAGCACATCATTTTCTGACTATGACCCTTGTTTCGACCTTGTTTCGTACACGGGGCACCCCTACTTATTTTTACGTGGTAAAAATAAGTAGGGGTGCCCCGTATACAAAACAAGTGTCTGTGCTATGACCTTCCCTATCACCTTGATATCACTATTCTTTAGTATAGAAGAAGCTTTTTAAGATATTTTCATACTTTGTACACAGGCACTTGGGGTCTGGACCCCCCCCCCCTTTTCCATTTTTTTTCTTTTTAAATATGGAGTCGATTCACCCTTTTCCTATTTTTGTATTCTAATATGCACTATATGTTATCAATAATGTAACTCTTTTGTCTCTATATGCTCTTTTTAAATATACCGTTTTCGACTGATACATAAAAAGAGAGAAGGCTTGCAACTCTTTTCTCATCGTCTGCCTCACCTCGCTTAAACTTCGCCTGATTATTTATCGAAAGAATAAGAAAACATGGAATATGCATACATCAATAAATTCGTTATACATTCTTCTTACTTTTCATATTTCCATTTATTTTTTATGTGCCCCCGATTTGTAAATATTTCGATTAAATCATCCGCATCTAGGGTAAATTTTGTTGATGTGCACCAGCTGGGACGGAAGTGCAATAACGGTAACTCTAACTTTATAAATGTTCTGCATTAAAAAAAATTCCAGGCTTTGTAATAACAATATTGTGGAATTTGGTTGTCTAGGTCGTCTATTTAAAGTATAATCTTCATCCATTAAAATTCTAGTTAAAGTTATCTTGTTATTCACAGAACTTACCGTTACATGTTATATGAAGAGAAAATTCGAGATGTATTCCTTCTCGCATTTAATGTTCCGAATTACATTACATGTAATGATGATACCCGAAAATACCGGGCACTTCCGTCCCAGCTGGTGCACATCAACAAAATTTACCCTAGATGCGGATGATTTAATCGAAATATTTACAAATCGGGGGCACATAAAAAATAAATGGAAATATGAAAAGTAAGAAGAATGTATAACGAATTTATTGATGTATGCATATTCCATGTTTTCTTATTCTTTCGATAAATAATCAGGCGAAGTTTAAGCGAGGTGAGGCAGACGATGAGAAAAGAGTTGCAAGCCTTCTCTCTTTTTATGTATCAGTCGAAAACGGTATATTTAAAAAGAGCATATAGAGACAAAAGAGTTACATTATTGATAACATATAGTGCATATCAGAATACAAAAATAGGAAAAAGGTGAATCGACTCCATATTTAAAAAGAATAAAAAAATGGAAAAGGGGGGGGGGTCCAGACCCCAAGTGCCTGTGACTTTGTATACTGATACAATTTGTTGAGAGCAATTCAACCGATTCTCTGACCTCTGATCTTAAACACAACTTTTGAAAAAAAAAAAGAAACATATTCCCTCTTTTAACATATTTAACTGTTAGCCCAGACTGAAGAAACAAGGCACATTCCTTTACATTTTTTAATACAAATGCATCATAAATCCGACCATTCATGTCCCTTGGACAAAGTAAATTGGTAAATTGTATGTGTATATATGTGTGGTGACCAAAATAATAATAAATACACGTACATGTAAACGATAACAAATTATGATTAATAGTTTGGATTTAACATTAATTTCTTTCTATAAGATTCTGTGTCATTGGAACTGGATAACACCCATGAAATGGTAGATGAGGAGATTCTACAGCTAGTTAAGACGTGTAAATGTCTAAGGGACTTAACACTTAATGCTGTCATCCTTGTCTCTACGGTTAGAGAGATTATGGAGCTTCAGCGAGAACGTAAAATTGGTAAGCACTCTTTCATTTAATAATTACTGGTTTACTTTAACTAACTGATGTAGAACTAGGAGGGTTTTGTAATTACGTCACACGGACTACAACTTTAGCCCACGATTATAAAAAAAATGATGATAATAAAAATGTTATGAAGGGTACTGCATTGAAATATTGAAGAACAATACAATTTGTTTCTATCACCCATTTTCCCCCATAAAAATCAAGAAAATATTACTATGTAGTACTAGCATGTTTCACACTATACATATATAGGAGTACATGTACCTCCATATAACTATGAACAAGCTTTGAAAGAAACAAGATCCTCAAAACTACTTTATACAAAGTATTCAAATGCAACTCTATTCCCCAAAACAAACATTGTCTTTTACATTTGAACAGTTTTTACATGTATTATTTTGTCACAAAAGATGATAATGTATTCTTTATATATTTTTTAGCCTGTATTCTCATTTGCATAATACCAGTGTATTGTTCAATGTAAATTGATGCACCATGTTCAAATTAAATTATACGTTCATGCATACATTCAAGTGGAAGGGATATTTATACCATAATTATCTAGGAAAAGTTGATATTGTTTGAAGTCATTTGTTTTGGTAAAGTTCCTTGTACCTGTTAAATTACATTTATAAGACCAGTGTTAATTGGACAAAATACTGTTGAGATCATTCATGTTATGTTATAGCAGGTGCCTGATATACATTGATACTCTCTTCAAGTTTCATTATAGAATCTCACAAAAAGTGCACAACAGAATAGGTTAAAATTTCATTTTTCTAAAATTAAAGTGATACTTACACCTCATGGCATTTTGTCCTTTTAAATAGGATTATTCTATATCAAAAATAATAATGAAATGTTTCCAAGATAATTACATGTAATATATTGTATATAAAAAGATGTTCTCGCAATCAATGCTCCTTTTCCAGAGTTGAGAACACTTCGAGTGACTGCTTGTAGCCTAACAGAGCTAGAATGGGCCCAACTGGCAGAAATCAAAGATTACTACAGCCCCATGATAGAAGAGAGAGGCCTTGATTTCAAATTCACAACAGATTTAATCATTGATTTTTCTTAACTTAAAAACCTATAGCAAAACTCAAATGCATTGAACTACATTACATAATGTTGCATAATTTAAGATACATTTAAAGTTTGTACATTCACAAGATATTTAATTCAGGTATTTGATTTCACTTTACAATAAAATGATTGTAAAACTCAAAATGTGTTTGATTCATTACAAGCTGCTGCCAAACATATTTTATAAGTGCAGTTCAAACTTAATATACAAGTACAATGCCTGTTCTAGTTCTTATTATTTACTTAATAAATTATAAAATGAATAAAACAGTTACTACTATTTATGTATTATAATGATATTACAATATTGCACATTTAAACAAGGTACATGTATTTTTGATGAATCATGGATTGTAAACACTTGGTCTGACATGACTTTTGCATCTGTTAAACCAGAAATATCTCTGATGAGATTGTAGCTTTACCTCTTACAATTTGCAGTAGTTGGACTTTATATATATTTCTACCACAGTTATTGACGAGATCAAAGAAATTATTCTCTAGTCATGTTACTCAGGAACCTGTGATCTTGACTGACAGATAAAAAACATGAACGCAGAGGGGGGCTTCTATGAATTTATAAATGACATTTCTTCAGAAGATGAAAAATGGGCATGAATGTTAGATATATAAAAGTGAGTGATCATTTCATTCAAATGGTAAAGGGGGGGGGGGGTCCAATAAATCACGAACGTCATCAAAAAATTATCAGATCAGAAACACATGTCAAACCTGTACAGTTGAAATAAATATTTCAATGAAGAATCTAATACTTATTTAGACCATATCGATGTGTCGTCTTACGCAGTCTAAATAGTGTGTATTGCCTGAAACAGCTGATAAATATCCTTTTTATAGCCAAGTCGGGCTGTTCCACGGATCTCCCCAAAACATTTACACTCCGTGATTTTACAGATGAAGCAATGAAATAGACAACTGATTTTGTTATTTTACATTCATAAAAATTAATCAATATATGTTACAAACAAATTTATAAATAATTAAAGGATATTTTTAATCCAACGAAAGCTGAAACCGTCTGCATTTTATGCAATCGATACACAAGTAAACAAACAAATTGACTCTGGTGTTAAATGGAACAGCAAAATTTCGACATGGTGACCTAATTCGTTTCTCTATAGAGAAAACGATCAGTCGTATTTTAGAGCTGTTAGTAGAATAGAAATAAAGTCCTTGTTGTCGTGAATGATGCAGGATAACCTCCTCGGTCTCGAAATGTTGTCTGAAATATAAAAGCCTCGGCTAACGCCTCGGCTTTTATATTTCAGACAACATTTCTCAACCTCGGAGGTTATCCTGCAACATTCACGATAACGCGGACTTTATTTCTTAATTATTTGAGTTTCTTCCATTTTTCTTTAAAAAAGAAAAAAAAAAAACCAACTTGGTAAAAAAAATCAGACAAAAAAAGAAGCAACATCATGAAATAATTAAAAAAATTATGTTGAATATTCAACACATTTCTAATTACAAGTATTTACCTAGTAAAAATACCTCAGTCTCATTTTTTTACCGCATATTTTATCTAAATACACCTTATCAAAAACTATCAAATGCTATGGCTTGCCATTTCTTCTCCAGATGCTTGTACATGTACGTGTAATTAGCATGTAATTGTACATGTTCTATCACTTAAGTATATTAAAACGTGTCTAACTCAAGCTAAATTATCATTAACGTCCCACGAGTGGTAAACAGTTTTAAAGTGTAATTAATATCAAAACATTAAATCTAGTGATAAATATTAATTATGCAATTTTGTACAAACAACAAATCCAATCATGAAATTAATTAATAAGACCGCGGAACATTAACTGGCAAAATTGGAAAAATACAGCTTACATCATTTCCATCTGTTACAATCAAAACTTTAAATGATATTCAATGAAATGGGCGGGTACAATTCCACACGGACGTCCGAGAAAACATTGGATTGAAATTCTAGTTTGAAATTCATTTTCAATCCACTTCAGCTACGCTAGAATCATGGTGTTGCTGAATGACCCAGAAGACAAATAATTTCAATTTCGGAATAGTTGGAAATTTATATAAATCAGAATTTCTGTACAGTGTTTAAAAAGAAATAAAATTTACAAATATTTGATTTCTGTTTGGTACGTGCATGTGTGTGTTGTAGGGGGTTGGAGGGGGCTGAACGATCTTGGAAATAAAACAACTGTAAAAAAGAAAGTTTTAGTTTGGACAAACCCCTCCCTGTTTTTGATTGTCAAACATTTTTCAGTAAAGACAAAACTAAAGAAAATAGCTCTTGTCATCCTATTTTGTCATGTGAAGGCATGATCAGACTCGACAATTTTTGCCCCCCCCCCCCCCCATCTAGAATCAAATGGCCATCCCCTGAAAAAATAATCTGTCTTCTATTACTTTTATGTGTCCTTAAAATTATAGTCTAAAAAACTCATACAAATATGAATTTCAAGCAACATGTTATTGGGAATTGAAATTATTTGTCTTTTGGATCATACATTCACACTTTGCGTTTGAAAATAGCTCAGGTGGATTGAAAATGAATTTCAAACTAGAATTTCAATCCAATGTTTTCACGGACATCCGTGTGAAATTGTACCCGCCCATTTCATTGTCTATGACTGTTACAAATGGAAATGACGTAAGCTCCAATTTTGCCAGTTAATGTTCCATGGTCTTATTAGATCTAAATTGACATCAAACAAAATATCAAAGTACATATACGTCTATCTCCCCAGTTACAAGTATGCTTAAATATGTAATCATTCCAGTTTAAAAAAAAAAAAAAGTATGATTGGATCCTCATCAGAGAATTTTCAATTACATGTTTTTAATCACTAATCAAGCAAAAAAAATAAAAATAAATAAATAAATAAAAAATTAGCCCATATAGTCTGTATTACTGAGTAATAGTCAAGTACATGTTCTAGTTTTTGAATACTTGTTGACATCCCTAAAATAAACATATCACATTTGTAAAGCTTTCAGTTGGGTTAATAAAACACTTACATTGTACATTTTTTATGGTTTCACTTTGTCCCATTAACAAAAATGAACACAGCCATAGGTAGTCAATTTGGTACAGCACATGTCAAGATTGTAGTTAAAATAACTTTCTTCTGAAATGATATTGGACCAAGTAAGCTTCTAATCTATTCAATAATTTATTTATCTACACCTGTATATAAAAGTAAACTTATGTATACATTCAATTTATGGGAAAAAAAGTCATTACAACCATTAAACACCCCAGTATTTACACAGTGATGCATGTGATGTCACCATTACCAGAGTTGTTTACCCCATTCTGCAGTTTTCAGTAATTTAAATGGTTTTTCTCTGTAATTTGATCTTTTTGTCTGTAATTTATGACTAACAATATATTGGTTTAATTTAACCCCAAAAAATGGATAAATACAGAATTTCCATGATAGTAAATAACTCTGCATTACCAGTACACTTTGAGTGATTAAGAGTAAAATATATAAGAAATTGAAACTTGGAAAATACTTTACAAAATTGAGAGAACAAGGTTCCAGAGATAGAAAATTTGTCTGATTTATCAAGGGGAAAAATCGGGACTGGGAGCTCACTTTGAGAAATCAAGAACTTTTAGAGATCAGAGTTTGAGCTAACAATAGTGACCTGTACACACATGTACATATGCCAGACAAATCTTGGATCAGAGAAGCCCACTTCAGCTTTTTGCTCAGGAGAGCAAACATAACAGTTAATTTCCAATATATGTTTCCATGAATACCATGATAATAATGTGTTTCGAAGTATACTCAAGACTAAGTGTCTCCTGAAAATTTCCAATCCAATTTCAGAAGTCAGATATACCATTTCTTCTGCACTACTTAAGTGTTTCTCACAGTTAACTATAATGGTAGATTTTCATCCCATCATGGTGACTTGGAATTACTGTTTCCAAATACATTGGCCCTTCTTTGATCCAATGAATGATTTGTCAAACCAACTTGACTTCCATTTTGTTGGAGATTGTACATAGCTTTAGAGCTCGCAGAACCTAAAACAGGAGGAAGCAAAATCTGTGATTGTGAAACAATATAATTCCCTTCATCCACCACACATTGAATCCCATTAACTAAGTAACTTTGTACATAATAAGTCTTTTATATTGGACCTTTTGGCATCGGAACCCATTGGGGCGCCATAGTGTCGTGCTCACCTAAGTGGCACAAGTCTTAGTTTGGGTGCCAGGTGCTTTAGTCCCTATAGTATGGCATAACAGGGGTCTACTTGGGGCTAGTATGTTAACAGTGAATGTACAATGTTTTAGAATATGTCAGGAAAAATCTACCTTAAGTTTTGCTTCTCCTGTGGCACCAGATACCTTTAACCCTATTTTGTACATTTCAGAAGGTCCCAAAGGATTGCTGTAAGTATAAAAAAAAATACATACATTCAAACCTAAATTCAATAAAAAAAAAAAAAAAAATCAACATATAACTTCATAATGAAATTCTTCTTCAAAACATCTGTATCTGATGAAAATCTGTATTTTTTTAAAAATAGAATAGTGGCTTTATAAATATTGAAGTATAATGCGTGTCACTTGAATCATCATGAACCACATACAGTAAATCTTGTCTAATCTGGACACCACTTGTTCCATATAAAGCAATTGAGTTTACTAAAAGAGACTAAAAGTTAACATCGTATTAGTCAAGATTTCAGAATACACATGTGGATTAGACAAGTTTCACTGTATTTTACAATCCATGTATCCTATCATACCTGTTTTCTTCTTCTTTAAAATGTCTCCACAAAACTCTGTAGGTCTACAAGATAATTCACATAAAATATAACAAGACATACATAACTTATGTAGCATGTATCACTGATATTGTAAACATTTCATTATTTACCTAGTAATTTGTCCCAATGAAAATATTGCATTCTTACTTTTAAATACCAGAAATATTTTACAAATATTTATTTCAACTCATTTACATAACCTTTACTAATTTACATAACCTTCCTACATTGATTTATATAAGATTTTTTTTTATCCTTAAGAATAATCAACAAAGGAAACACTTTCAAAAATCACTTTCCCTAATATCATCAATATTTGATTCAAAGTCTTATATCAAATGAAATGTTCAGTAAAACTTATTAGCAATGTGCAAAGTGATTCCAATAATCTTATTTATCTATGATTTGACTAATATCACTTACAGACTTCTCAGACAATTTAATGAACAATACTGCAAATAAAAAGCCCATGCACTGTTTATATACATATATATTGTACATTTAGAAACAAAGTGCATTACCATATTGACATCTGAGAGTTTGACCCTCCCTTTTACAAGTGATGGAACAGAGTCAAATTCTTCCTCTGACAATTCTATAAATTCACTGGACTGTGACCGCCTTTCTGCGGGAGATAATGTTTCCTTTGTCTGACTCTCTGTTAAAATAAAGAGATACAAAACAAAATTAGACTGGAAACCAACACTTTAAGGTTGAAATTACGGAAGACTCTCACGAGTGGATACCACGTGGTATTCAATAGGGTCTGGATCAAAAGTAGTTTGTTCCGTCAAAATAAAGAGATGGTCAATGTGCTGATATCAATAATCTTGACTTTTTTATCGCGACCCTTGAGCAATTAGACTCAAAATCTATTGGTGTCTTGTTTAATATTTTGTGAATATGAAGTTTTCTCATAAAGAAATACAGCTAAATTCTTGTGAAGTAATAAAACTGTGTTCATGAAGGAAATAAATAATAAATTTCATCAGAATAACCCTATATATATATATATATATATATATATATATAGTCTGTCCTCTTTGCTTTTCATTATTATGTGTGACCAATATCACACTGATCATTGTTAAAATAATCCTGACTTTTGATCAAGTGAACTCTTTGTTCTTTGTCTACTGGTACATAGTAAATATTAAGATTCTAGGTTATAAAATGATTAACTTATTCTAGGTTATAAAATGATTAAGTTATTTTTTACTATGCAATCCTCCATACAAGCAGTAAAGGTGAAATCTTTACAGTAAATAATAGCCATGTAATTTCAGTGCATCTTATAAATGTGAAATAGTTATAACAATTAGCTTGAACTTTGACCTTTCTCCAAGTTATCTAATGACCTTCTTTATCAAACGATCCTCCATTGTAATAGGTAATATGAAGTCTGTAGCTAAAACATGTAAAAGGTTACTCAAGTAATCACCCATCATAAAAATATTTACAGATGGACAGAAAGGTCAATGGTTACCATAGGATTTCCAAATCTTAATGTGGGCTTAAAAAATGCAACACCATTCTTTTCAACTGTACACAAATTGTTTAACCAGAATTGATTTAGAGTGGCAGATTCTAAAAACACAACTGACAAGTCATCAAAAGCCCTGCAAGCATGCTTAAATCAATAATCTTGACCTTTTTTGACATTGAACTTTGTTAAATAGACCCTTAATTGTATGGATGTCCATTTTCTACTTTTACAATGAAGAGAATTGAAAACTTTTGTAGGCTACAGAGAACATGTATATTTTAATCACATATCTAAGATCTCGACCCTCTGGCCAAATGACCGCTTAATTGTATATCTTCCATAAACCATCTTCCAACAAAAGGCTGTCAAATAAAAGTGTTGACAGAATGATTTTGTTGTTATGACCTACCAATACGTTTATGTATTTTTTTAGCAGCAGTGTGACATTGTGTACCTGTTTCTTCTGTACTTTTTGCATTGAGGGTAAAGGTCAGGTTGCTATTGGCTGGTTGTGATTGGTCGACTTCCTGCTGTGAATTGGATGCTGTAGTGTCAGACTGATAATGAGGAAGGTTGACACCCAGTAACTCTTCTAATTTCACCAACTCTTCTGGCTTTTCCTCTGACTAAAGAAAATAATATCACTTAACTGTTACTCAATTATAATTTAAAATTCAGGAGGGTACAATTCACCAAATAGGTTAGGTTTGTTGCATATGACCGTAAAATTTTACAAAATTAAAATCATGGGAAGGACTGCCACAAAATTCAAACACAAGTTATCAAAGATTATATACTGGTAGCTCATTTCGACAAATGTTATCTATAAGTAAGAAAAAGTCTCACAACAAACAAATGTTCTAGTAGTGTGTATCCCTAAGTACAACATCAGATAGATTCTATACAAATTTGGTCCAGGTAGGATCTTTAGATAATTAAAAATGGACCTGCTCCAAAAACTTCAATCATTCAACTACCTGTTCATTCACCTGGAAAATGTAAGGCACATCCAGCATCCAAACAAGTCTTAAGTGTGCATCCTTAGATGAATCATCCATGCATATTTGGTCATCATACATCTTATAGTTATTTGGGAATGAACCTGCTTCAATATGAACCTGCTTCAATAAAAGTAGGCCGGATCAAGTATCCTAAGCAAGTCTGGAAGGGTGAATCCTAAGATGCATCATCCATGCAAGTTTGGTTCAAAGAGGGCTTGTTAAATAAATAGTGCACGTTTTTGAGGGTAACAGTTGAAATTGACACCCCAAGGAAAACCATTGTCAACCGACGCGTCAGCGGAGGTTGACAATGGTTTCCGAGGGGTGTCAATTTCAACTGTCACCCTCAAAAACGTGCACTATTTATTTTATTATACTGAATGTCTTATTGATTTCGGCTGTCATAAAAAAATTCGGAGATCGTCGTTAAGTTCACGCTTAGAAAGCATTCAAACTCCCCACTTCTATTTTTCTCAATAAGAAAGCTTTGGAAAAGATTTCCCAACCTCTTTATTGTTTGTTTGCTACTCAAAGAGTCCTTTATCATCTAAAGTGTGCACTCACAAGGATGTTTCGTCTGTCGTTTGTTGTTTTCAAGTAAGCTACATCGGACGCAAGCTTTCATTGATGTAGTTTATTCGGCATCTTTCAAATGCACAACCGACGTTTTGAGAATTCTACGGTGAATCGTACGCGCATGATTTGAACGCATGTGACATTTTCGTAATGTTACCCATTGTCAGGTGTGTTGCTAACGCTGAGGGTAACATGCATCTAAACCAATCAGATTTTAGTATTTAACATGAAAGTATAATAAAGTTAATTGCAAATGAAACCGCTTCAAAAACTAACTTGTTCACTCATTTAGAAAATGTAGGTCAGATCCAGCATCTGAAGCAAGTATGGTAATGTGTGTCCTTCGATGCATCATCCATGCAAGTCTGGATCAAGTAGGGCTTTTACCTGTATACTCATCCAGAACATATAGATCGATTTATCCAGCATCCAAAGGTCTGATCGTGTACATCCCTAGATGCATCATTCATCCCACTTTGGTCTAGGTAGAGCTTACAATTATTTAAGAATGAACATGTTCCAAAAACTTTAAACTGTTCGCTCATCAGGAAAATGAAGGTTAGATCCAGCACCAAAAGTCAGTCTGGTATTATGCATCCTATCATCCAGGCAAGTCTGGTCCAGGTAGGGCTCACAGTTATGTATGAATAAACCAGATCAAAACTTTAACCTGCTTACACATACGGAAAATGTAGGTCAACCCAGCATCCAAAGCCAGCCTGGCAATGTGTGTCCCTAGAAGCATCATTCAAGTTTAGTCACCACAGGCTTATAGTTAGTTTGAAATGAATCCTGCTCCTAAAACTAACTTGCTTCAAAAACTTTCTTTTCTCTCATCTGGGAATTGTTGGTCATACAAAGCAAGCCAAATAATATACATTCCATGTTGCATGCAAGTTTGGTCAAGGTAGGATTTAAAGTTACTTGGGAATGAGACTTGCTCTCAAAACTTTAACTCTTTACCCCTTAAAACCCACGATTTGACGCACTGGCCATATCCTTAGAGTGTTTGCCTGGCTGCCCCTTGGTGCGTTTTAGATGAACTGGAGTGCAGTTTAATACTGAACTAATGGGGGTCAAAATATTTCATTTATGCTATGTATTATATATCACTGGATTCGTAATAAATTAAATTTTTCAAATCTATTAGCATAATTTTTATCGGAATTTTCTGTAAATAAATAATTCAGGTGAAAGCAGGTGTAAATCGCAAAATAGATATTTTCAACATGTAAAACGGCTTAAATAAGCCAAAATTGTCCGTATAAATAATAAAAATTATGTGTGATGATAAAATTGATGGTTAAATTATAATTAATTATCAATTTTATAAGTTTAATTCCTTAGAAATCAATAAATTGTAGTGCTTCTTCAATGTCAATCTCGCCGAAAAATTTTCAGACTTCTTCTTCTTCTATTTACAACAAAACTTCAGAGCGCTGAAGATTACTTGCTGGTGCGCATGCGTGACCTAAGCAAACTAATATTAAAGAAAAACTGTGCTTTTATTTACATTTGTGATTAAAAGAAAAAGAAGACTTGGCTGTTAAAACTTGATTTCTGAACGTTTTTGTTTACTTGAATGATCAAATTCTATTAAAATAATTGTTTTCTACACCTTCACATTTATAAATATGTGTAAAATGGAAGTATCTTCAGAAATTCTTAAAAACAGGTAACGAAATCGGCACTGCGCGGTCCCGAACTTCACAACATTTTCGTATCTTATTTTAATGTTTATTACACACATAGATCATTATAATTTTCAAAACTTTCAAGAAATAGGTAGCTTATAGCTTGAATTTCATGTAATGCTTTACTGGATGAGAAAATATTGCGTATTGACCGAGTTATATGCTCTAAAAACATCGTATGTAACAGTCCGCCATTTTGAATTTTGGTGGGACTTTCCAAGATTCTTTTGTTTGTTTACACAGGTAATCATGCAATCATCTATTGTTAACCTGCAGGTGGCCACCTGTGCTCTGATAATTTGTAAACAAGCGGTAATTTCAAGTCAAATTAACAATGAAATACACGTGCGTCAAAAGTCGTCATTAAGGGTTTGAGACTAGGCATCAAAAGTCGTCATTAAGGAGTAAAGGATGGAAAGGTCTAAGGGGAATAGAGTTAACTGGGACACCAATACTAGTGCCGACGCCGGGGTATAGCATATAAGCTCATTTTGACTTTATTTAGGGCTACAAAATATACATTTGCTCCTTCAGTGTGAAAATGTACAAATCAAAAGTACAGATTTTAAAAATAGAATATATCAGGCTCATTTAAGCGATTGTAAACTCATCATTTCTAATGTTATAAAAAAACATTTACAAAAGTCTGGGCAAATTTGTGCACTTGTCAATAAATTGGCAATGCTTGGGTGAGAGGGTGCTCATGTTTCACAAACATTTCTTGTAAATACTAAAATATGTATTCTTTTTTCACTGTAAGTTTTCTAAAATAATATTTTAAATGATATTAACCTCTAAACTCCCTTGTTCCTGTATTTTTTGCAAAAGCTGACAAGCACCAAGAAGTTGTGACTGAAACTGGGCCATCGCTTCCTAAAAAATATAGAAAATTTCCAAATAAGCTTAAATACATGTACTTACTTTAACTAGTGCCATCAAAATACAGTATGCTTGTTTATCACTTTTAATAAGATCTAAGAAGAATTTTGCCCTATCTAGTAACCAGAATACTGAGTCCATCTTTATCCTTACTTTCTGTGCCTCTTGAATGGCTGCAGCTTCCTGGACAATGGATGAAAATTCTTTCTTTATGTCAGCAATTTTCTGAAGCATTTGCGATGGATTTGTCTGCAAAACAGCAAACATTTTTCTATAAATCATTTAAAACTTCATTATCTTAGGGTCAATTCTTTATTGACCAAATTGCCATTACTCTGCCAAATCAAGAACTGACAAATTAAATGTAATGAGATCCTATTCTTGGAGCCTGAAACTAAGCCTAAATCCAAGTAATTTTTTTATACACAAGAGCACAAAAAAGATTGAATAAATGAATTACTCTGACAAATTCTTCAAGAAGTCCAAATGTTCTTATAATAAGAGGTCTATCGACCACAATGCTCACCCGAGTCACAACTGCCTAACTATTCTTCATCAGTAGATTTTATTTCCTACATATATTCTTATATAAAACTTTGATCACCTATTTGGCCCCACTCTAAACCCCCCACCCCACCCTCTCTGGTTTGAAAAAATTGAATTGAGTTCCATCTTCTGTGGCCTAATTGTTCTTCATCAGAAGATTTTTAAAAGATGCTATTTAATTTTCACTAATTTTAATTATCACCCCTTGCAAGAGGGTGTAGCCCTTTATTTGAATAATCTTGAATCACCTTTACCCAAGGATGGTCTGTGGCAAGTTGGGTTGAAATTGGCCACATGGATATTAGTAAAAGATGGAAAATGTGAAAAGTTTACAGATGGATGGACAGACAGACAGATACATGGATACTAGACAAAATGTGATCAGAAAAGCTCACTTAAGCTTCCAGCTCAGGTGACCTAACAATTCAGGTCAATATCAACTTTTTATGCATGCTTCTCTGCATGCTTTTAATTTGAACTTTCCATAGAAAGTTGACAATAGCTTTTTGTTTTTCATTTTCAACTTTACGACAAAAATTTCTCAATTGGACCAGTGCCCAGCAATATTCACTTATCCAGTACAAAATTTTCACTGGTACATGTGTACCACATAAACATTAATGTTCAGCTCTGAAAACAGAGAAATGAAACTGACTGCATTTGATTACTAACAACAATTTTTACTCATTACCTTATTTTCTTCATTATTCTGGTCAAATTCAAAATCCAGTTTTCTTGACAGAAAATTCAGATCAGATTCTGCTTTTTGGAACTGAAAATTCAGATAAACAAATATTTAAATAATGGTATTTTAAAACTATTAAAAAGTTTTCTGCATTTTCTGTTATGTTATCAGACCTAGTCATAATGACCAGGGTTTCTTCAAATGTGACTTTTTACATAGCAATAGAATTTATTAAGGAAGAAAGTGTAATTTGTGGTTAATATAGAATGTTAAACATCAGACATATAGACATTCCAAATGTCATATGCAGTTTGAACATGCGTATCTAACAGGTTGGGAACAATTCCCCTGTAGAGAGATCATCTCGCTAGAGCGCGATAATCCCTCTCTAGCGGAAGAATAAACATTACCATAAACAGGTGTTTTGTTGTTTTGATTACAAAATAATCAAAAATCTCGTGCTTTTTAAAAATCCGGGAGAAGGCTGCATTGAAGCTTGAATTTCCTACATAAAACTGACAACCTGGGCTAGAAATTTAAGACAATCACTGCTGCATGTGAGAATAGGAGGCGAAAATCAAGTGTAATTCGTACATTTTTTTTCAAAGGTTTTAAAATTTACAGTTATATATGTTTATGAAGCAATATAAAATATGAATAGATATCCAAATTATATTCATTAAGGTTTTAGCTTTCCCTTCATGCAAAGAAGGTAATAATTACATTCTCCAGAAACCCATGATCATTGTTTAAATATTTGATCTTTGGTGGACTATAAGAAGTACGGAAGCGCAACAGGGTTGTAACATTTGTTTAAAAGTCATAATGAAAAAAATATATATATATCAATGACATATATAAGCTGGATACCCGAATAAATAATTAAATATAATTGAAAACAAATCAGGTAAAAAAAAGTTTAAATTAAGTCTAACCGATATGACATAGTACAAAATGTTGATATATGGCAACCTTTGAATTGCAGAAAGGTGTGATATTCTCGACACATAATAGCCGTCTGTCAAATGGTGATCTAGATTATCATTGGTTGTCTTAGCTCATCAATATTCATAGGAACATAGTCAAGCATAACTGATAAGCGGCACAAAACAGTTTAGTATGAATTATTTTTTATAACACAGAGAAAACAAAAATGCGAAATTGTTGAGTGATCAGCGCTTTCCACGTGCTGTGTTAGTTTGAAGAAGTAGGCCCTAAGTGTTCGTATTTCAATGACATAAATTCTTAACGGTTTTTTCCCGTGGCAACGAACAGTTCCATGTTTGCGGACACTAGCACTGGAATCTTGTTGGGATCCTGCATAACAAGTGTAAATTTTAATAGTTCATCAGATACTTTCCAATACAGAGGTTGCATAGGAGAACCCAGGCCCGTAGAATTTTTTTTTTCAAAAAGGAGGGGGGGGGGGGGGGGGGGCTTATATAAAATTTGACCGAAATAATAAATAAAAAGTGCCCAAGAAAATAAACACTTTTAAAGGTACGAATGTGCATATATTTAGAAAGAAGATTTAGTAACACTATGTGAAATACTTCGTAATTAACATTTTATAATTCCTACAATGAAAATTATAATTGTATTTTTATATTTTAGGGGGGCTTAGCCCCCACTTTTTTGCAAAGAGAGACATAATATAGGCATTGAAAATTGGGGCTTACCTTTTTTTGTTGGTTTAGCCCCCCCCCCCCCCCCCCCACTTTCAATTAGCCACCTCACTTTCAATTTGCTTCCGACGCCTAAGGAGTATATTTATGTAGGACGAGAAACTGAAATTTACACTGATTTTTTTTTTTTATTCACGGGTAAAATATATAAAGAATAAATATATAGAAGATCCTGCAAACATTGACGAGTGTAACAATGAGCTCATAAAATGATACTCCTGCTCCCACATGTGTATAATGATTAAGTCCATTTGTTGATATGGGAAGGTCCAAACATTTGTCCAATAAAAAGAAAAATCAGGAGGACAATTTAAAAAAGAATCTGTAAAAGTATCATTACATTTTATTTAGTGGTGTAAGAGGAGTTGCTGTTAAGAGATAGGTACCTCAAATTGTAATGTACTGATGAACAACTTTATAGACAGACTAACTGACGGACACCTCATCACTATATACCCCCCGCTTTTCAAACGGGGTTATTAAAAAAATAAGTCGAAAGATATACGTACATCTGCAATAAGCAAGTTTACTCATACTGATATTTATCACTTGTGGTCCTCCGTAGAAAGTCTATACAATTGTGCATGATCTTATTCAAATTTCCAAGGTATGCTTCAGTAGGGGCAATATTTTAAAGCAAATATATTGAGAAGAGACAATAAATATTTAACAAATGGGTTGACATGCTTCTGGATTTTCCTTTTACGGTAGTTAACACGTTTACAGATGGAATCGGAATATAAATCTCGGGTTTCCGAGATGTATTTTCTCCCCCTAGAGAGGGATAATCGCGCTCTAGCGAGATGATCTCTCTACAGGGGAATTGTTCCCAACCTGTCTAAATTTAAAACCGATTAGCTTTCCAGCATTGGTCAATCAACGGTCTTTCATCCCCTAATTCTAGACATATTCTATAACCAATCTGTATATTTTATCCACCTCCTAACCGTTTATAGTCGTCTCTACAGACCAATAAACTCATTATGCCATCCGACAACAAATTCATAACAAGCGGGATCTGTAGCATTATGATCAAAGACTAAAATATAAAACCATAACGCTACAGTTCTGCAGCTAGATTGTACCAGTATGTACACAGTACAGCAGCTTGAAATAATCCTGATCAAGAATATTACCAACGAAATAAAAAAATGTATACCATTGCCTCTAAAACTTCTACTTTAGACTCCATCTTGGATTAGAACTTCCGCTTTTGTTAAAGAGATTTTGATTGGACATATTTATGAGAAACGACATTCGATTAGTTGCTTGAAAGCGGGAGGTACAAATGAAGAAGAAACCATATGAAAGTAATGAAAAATAAATTGTTGGATTTTGCATGAAATCATGACATTTTTATTTTGTCGGGAACGTCACATATTGGTTACATAACATAACAAAAAAAAAAGAAACGCAGCTGAACGTTGATTTTGAATTATTCATATTCGTATCTATAGCGATCATAGGCACTCCCCAGCTTAATTGTTAAAAAATATATATCTACTATACTATAATGTTTATAGTATAGTAGATATATATTTTTTAACAATTAAGCTGGGGAGTGCCTATGATAGCGATGCCAAATTAAGTGCCTTCCCTTACCAAACTGTTATGTTTGCTGCAGACCTGCAGCAAGTCTGCTGCAAGCTAGCAGCAAACAAAATTGTTCGCAGGAAGAAATTTTTCTTGTTCGCAGTTGATTGCCGCTAGTTGCGATCTTGCGGCAAGCATTGCAGCAATTGCTGCAGGCTTGCAGCAAATTCGCAGGAACTCAACATGTTTGCAGAAACATTGCAAGAAACATACACGCCAATCTGTTGTTCGCAGCAAGTTCGCAGGAAACATTTAACAAATTGAATATTTGCAGGAAGTTCGCAAGAACAGTAAACAAGTCAAATCAGCCAATGAAATGCAGATTGTACTGGGGTCAACACAGAATTCGCCATTTTGAAATGTTTGAATTGAAGTTGTAGACGTTTCAGTATTTTGTTAGGATATATACCATTTTGAATGATTACAAAAGCATAATTATGGATGTAGGTGTACATGGGCATACACAACATCTAATTGGTAAGATCTGATTTTGTTTTATTTTAATGAAGCAATTATCTCTTTAAAGCATGTTAAAGTAACTGATTTACTTGCTAGGTCAAATCTTAATCTATGTATGAATTTTTATATTTATTTTAGTATCACATTTGTATGTTTCTTTAAATGTATTAAAGGTTCCAAATCAATTATTATAAATGTTTATATGTTTGCAAATAAATTGGTATTAACCGTAAAATTTTATTGTTAAGTAATAAGCAAAGGTTTTTAATTTTCTGTACATGTCCAAAAAAGAAAGTATATTATAGTTTTATTAAGAATAGTTTGTGAACATTGTCTAGGAACATAAAGAGGGACTATCAACACTTTAGAAACTACCTTGCATCATTTCAGACACGTGTGGTGGATTTTATCTATAATTAACAGATTATAATTAAGGTCAGGACAAAGGCTTTCTGCGAACTTGCTGCTTGTACGCAGGAATGTGCCAAAAACAATAATTATACTGCTTGCCGCAAGTTAGCAGCAATGTTTGCTGCAAGCTTGCAGCAATGTTTGCTGCAAGCTTGCAGCAATGTTTGCCGCAAGCTTGCAGCAATGTTTGCCGCAAGCTTGCAGCAATGTTTGCGGCAAGCTTGCAGCAAAATTTCTATATTTGGAATATCCAGTGTTTGCTGCTGACTTGCAGCAAACCTCATTTGCATGGTAAAATGTTTGCTGCAAGCTTGCTGCATACTTGCCGCAAACTTGCTGCAAACACAAAGGTTTGTATAGGCTGTCATGGTTTCTTTAGCTTCATTGTGGCAAGCTTTCAGCAATGTCTGCAGCAAGTTTGCAGCAATGTTTGCTGCAGACTTGCAGCAAATGTTTGCAGGAAGGCAATATTTTTGGTAAGGGTTAATATCACAGTCACCTGAGTATAATATAACACTGTAAATGATCCAATGAACTGCTGAAGTTTGAAATAAAATAAACCGAGAGATGAAGATATGTTTCCGCAAAGCAAGAATCCGGAGAACTGGAGAAACCCCTTAAATTCTCACATTATTACCCTCTTTTGGTCTTAGCAGCTGTATAACAGCTGGTACAATGTACAAAGATAAGGTATTTTTGTCTCATTTTTATTTATCTGTTAATTTACAAGTCTACCCGACCACTTAAAAATATGAAAGTAATTTTTGTTCTATACAGTAAAAATTCTTCTTTATTTCTTTTATGCAGTTTGACCTATCAATTACATTATTTGTACATTAATTAATTAATTACGGGTATCATAGATGAAAAGCAAAGGGGAAAAACCTCTGAGTACAAAAATTCCGTACAGTATCATTAGAAACCTGCCTAGCACCAGAACACTTGTTCCTGTGATCCAGAATTTTACAAATCTGGTTTTAAAAAAACAGCCTTGCTATAATTACAACCTTTTATTCTGTTTGCGTCCTAGCATCTTCCCAAGTCAAGGGTTTCTGGTCCACTTCGCTCCACATGTGGAGCGGGGTGGATCAGAAACCCTTGACTTTGGAATATGGCGGCCTAGATGCCAAGGAGAAGAGTCTCAAAGAATTTTAATAAATGCATTTTCAATATATAATGATAATTAACAGAGCCCTCAACACCAAAACCCCAGATCCAAGGGCTATGAATTTCACAATTTTGGAAGAGGTTTATGCACATGGTTTGTTTGGTAAATACCCAGGGGCAAAGAAGCAGCTTTTCAAAGAACATAGATGCATTTTTACTATATTATCAATAAAGTCTCGCCCTAACACCAGAACCCCTGTTCCAGGGGCCATGAAACTCACAATATTGGAAGAGGCACCCTTGCTCATCATAACCATGCACTTAGTTCGTTTTCTTGATACTCAGGAGCAGGAAGAATGAATGCATTTTCATTACATGATCAATACGAGCCCCACTCTAACATAAGAACCTCTGACTCAGGGACCATAAATTTTATGATTTGGTAGAAGGCATCGTCGCAGACCACGGCCAAAATGTACGATCCTCTCCCAATCTGAGCTATGAGCGAACTCCGAGCCGTGGCTTGAGGTTCAATGCTTATTTCAATCATGATAACTGTTTATAATTGCTTGATGTCCAGGAGTAAAGGGAAAAAAAGGGCTTTTAAAAATTGCACTAATTTTGATGGTTTTAGCCCCACCTCTCCCACCGAGAGAGGGAGGGTTGCAAAGACCATGAAATTCACCATATTTGTTCCCCTTTACCCGTAGATACCATATTCCAAGTTGGTTGAAATTGGCTCAGTGGTTACAGAGGAGAAGCTGGAAATTTTTAAAAGTTAACAGACAAGAGACGAAAACAGATAACATTGGGTCACCTAGTGACTCGGGTGACCTAAAAATAACATTTTTTTTGGGGGGGGGGGGGGGCAATCCATTGCATGCATTTTTACTGGGATTTCCAAATTAAAATGCTTTATGTGGTGCTAGAATATGTTTGCGTTTATGTAAATGTACCCGATGTGGCTGTCTACTTGACAACAGATATATTATTTTTAGAGGTCCGCGTTGGCTCTGCTCATGAATTGTTTAAATGACTTTTGAGAATGATCACTGTTTGTTATCTTCACATTTCATTTTCGTCATAGACATGTTATAGGGACTTCAGTTACAAATAGTACCCTTCCACCCAACTCCATCTCTTCCAGCACCCCCCCTCCCCATCCCCCATTAATTATACAGAATCCCTTTAAACTGTAAATTGCCCAAGTTTATATGTGCAATAGAAATATATTACTAGTAAGTAAACTTATTCGGAGCCCTTGCTTTGAAAGATTTCAAATTTGAGAGTTTTGTTGCTATACGTGCTTCCAAAAGTAAGTCATGTTCGGAAAGGAAGGGGTGCATGTTATAGTGACCATGCATGTATTTTCTATTTTATATTTGTTATATAGGGCCATTATCGGCACTTGATCGTTTGATATACCTTGCAGATTAGAAAGGGGAAGATGGAGTGGGGATCAGTTTACTTGATGATGTTTTAATCTCAAGTCTCCACATGCAGGGACGTAGCATTGTTGGAAAATAGCAAAAGAAGCAGAAAAGGTGTGTGAAAAGAATTGACAAATAAATAAATAAGATAAAATAAATAACACAAAAACCAAAACTTGCATAAATTTAAAAAATCTATTGGGGGGGGGGGGGGGCAAATGTCCTCTGAATAATCATCATTTCTTTGCTAAATAAAGTAAAAGCACAAAAGAATTTTCTCAGGAAAAAGTGGACAGTCCATTCCTATCCCCTTGATACTATCTTTCTGACATGTACATGTACCATCTCCCCCTGTTTGAAAATCTTATGCACACGTAGTCACGAACCAAGATAATCCAGTTCTCAGAAGAAAAAGAGAATTCAAATTCCTTCGTCTGTCTGGATTTTTAAGCGAAATAAAGTGAAAATTTGGATGCGTAGGCTCAGAGAAACACCAGAGTGGTGTTTCCTATGTAATCCCAGAAACTGTGATATTGACAATTCAAATGATTTCAAATAGGGTATATAGGAAACACCACTCTGGTGCACTAAGTAAGGCGTTTCAGTTGTTCTTGACCAGTGATTCTTGAGAATTGCTTTTTTTTTTTAACCGTACGCGTGTCCCTTCATTTGAATAAATTTGAATCCCCTCCACCAGGATACTTTGTAGCAAATTGAGATGATATTGGCCTAGTGGTTCCGGAGAAGATGAAATTGTGTAAAATTTACAACGACACAGACGAAAACGACGACAGACAAATTTCGATCAGAAAAGCTACCTGAGCTTTTGGTTCAAAGAATTAAAAAAAAGGGGGGGGGGGGGCTTGGATTACAGGAAAAGGGAGCAAAAATGCAAATGCTGTCATGTGTATGAAATTTTATGCAGTTGCTCAGAATGTGGACTAGCTGTGAATCGTGTCACAACATATTCAGCAAGCAAGGCTCACAAAGATTTTCACTACATTTATGCATAAATTACGAACCTGTATGCCTTGTCTTTATTAGAAAAGACCTAGACGTATGAAAAATTTTAAATATGTTGGAGATTTTACATTTGTTTAGTTAACAACACTTCCAATCTAATAATTGTTTATCCTGTAGGTTCAGTTTGACTATTTGAGGAAAGTGTCGTCAAATCTTAATATCTTTAAATGCAGGGAAATTTCCTTTACCCGAGCCTTTGGCTCACGTGAACAGAACATATTCCTTGTACTTCGGAAGGGGGGAGGGGGGGGGGGCTAATCATCATGATAAAATAATTCATGTCTTGTGTGGTTCACGGAATTAAATTCAATCAAATTGTGACGTTTCCGCGGGAAAGCTAGGGAACTCTTTGGTAAAAGGAGGCATGAATAACGTTTGTTTAGTTATGCAAAATGACAGTCGTGTTTATTTCAATTCAACTAGCTTTTTTGCGAATACTCTTTTGTCGCAAGAGAAATATCACCTCGATTTGGTATTTACTACTGCCCTTACTTGTTCCAACACTTGCAGCACCAGGAAAAAGTGCAGTTATTGATGTCTTTAGAACGGAAAAGTTAAATAGTCGTCCACAGCTGTCTGCCAGATTCAAGACAGTTGAGTCAACAACAGCAACAGACTCGAAACATGACAATATCATTGCAAAAAATATTCGAGGAAAATTTGCCGATGTTGGAAATGTTAAAGGAGCAGAAGGAAGGCTGCATATGGTAATTCAATAACCACTGATCCTAGCTGGTGATCTATCATCGTATACCCTGAAGGAGGGCTCCAGACTTGCTCCAATTACAATGGTCATGCGCATTGAAGTGGTAAAATTTTTCTTTTGATTGGAACGTTTTGGTCTATTTTATAGAATGTTGATTGTTACATAATGACACTCATTTCTTTAGATAGGAGAAAGCAATATTCGTCGCAACGTTTTAAGACCCCCCTCTCCCGGCCCACTCTCTGCGCTGAAATGGGGATTTTATGAAGTTAGGAGAGAGAGTGAGAGACTGCAGCTTCTGTAAAACTCTCATACTGTAAAATTCTCATACTGAAATGAATATGTATGTATACATTACCTGTTCTACAGGTATTCTAAAGAAGCATATATGTGAAAAAATTTACGACATTCGAGGGCTCTCTCTCTCAATGCAGACTGGCATTTGCCCACCCACTCACCTCTACAATATGCCATTTTTTATAACTTATGGTTGTATGTTGGTTTGCCCTAAAACTTGTTCGCCCTTGACACCGTCCACCCTAATTCCCGTTTGCCCAGAATTCGATCGCCCTAAAACTTGTTCGCACAGGGTCCGTTCACCTTATTTATATTGCAGAAAGTTGAATAATGAACCAATGGATTTTTTAGATAAATTATATGTACATTGGTACATAAATTGCACACGGGAGACAACAGTCATATGCATGTGGTCACACTATAATATACCTGTACTATCAAAGACCCGACAGACCAACAGAAATTAACGTCTAAGTCCTTTATTTGTTTTCAAAACATAACGCAGATTGTATGATCCCCTAAATTACAGTGACATTATTAAGTATAATTGAATCAATTAAGCATGTAAAGAGCATAAATATCATATTTGAATTATTTAATTAAGATTACGGTAGATAAAAAAGAATACTGTAGCAACATTTGAAAAAAACACCAAGTCGTAAAATATTGAATAAAATTAATAATAAATGTTGAATGATATTTACTATATACTGTATATATAATAGGGCGAACGAGATATAGGGCGAACAAGAATAATGGCGAACGGACCCTGCGCAAACGGACTCATGCGAACAGGTAGATAGGGCAAACAAACCTGATACCATAACTTATATAGGTTTAATTGACTTTATAGCTATAAAAGAGTTCAAAGGGTGAAGAAGAATTATTATTATTTGTTTGAGTTGAAATAAATAAGAACATAAACCCAGGGACCTTTATACTAACGGGATAGGCAAGTCTCGCGATATCTCGTAAGTTGCAGGACTTTGTAAGTCAATTTTAATTAAATACATCTCTTTTGCTATCAAATATTTCAGAATAAAATCTTAATTTATCTATCAAAAAATTATTCAAGATTTGTTATTAGCACTGTTTTTATTCCTTATCTTAGTAGTTACTGTAATTACTTTTATTGAATTTCAAAAATCAGTGCTAGCCCCTGATTGGTCGTATTTCCAAGAAATCGTCGATTTTGGTGGTTGTTTACTTAATATCTAAATTATTTTATAATATGTTCTTTAAAATTTATTAAATATCCATTCTGATACACAAAAAGAACAAGCTTTTTACTGGGGAAAAACGTAGTTTGAAAAATTTGCAGTGTTGTGTGTGCCGTTTTGGGTAAATAAACATGGCGCTGAAGGAGTTGCCTATCCCTTTAGTATATAGGTCCCAACATAAACAGCCTTCTCCTTTTTGAAGAAATGAGCATTTCATTATGTAACAAAGAATGTTCAAAAGAAAGCTCATTAATGCCACTGCTCTCAATGTTCCATTCAAACAGAAAATTTTACCAACTCAGTGTGCTCATTGAATTGTTATTAGAAGACAGGTCACCTTACTTATATCATATGGATTATATGTACTAGTCATTCTTAACAGACTTTTCAGCAGTATATAAAATTAGTCTCATATCGCAATAGCTTTTGATAGTGATTGATGTGCACACCCAAAATCCTAAGCCTAAACTTACACTGTTCAATTTGCTTGCATTAGTGTTAATATTATTGTAAGTATTCATATTAACAGTAATAATTAAATAAACAGAATTACCAAAATTAATAAGTTTGTTTAAGACATTATTTCTTTTACACTGTAATTTGTTTTAGTTGTCTTCTGACTGTAATAGCAATGATGAGAACAGTTTTGCCAGACTACCAGAGAACTGGCTTGCGGTTTTCCATCTGGGAGAACGTGGTGGAAGCTCATCAAACAATTGTCATACAGAATCCTTATCCATGATGGACAGGGTAGGGGCATCTCAGATATTTATGATAATTACACAATATTATGTTTATGCCTGTTTAGGGATGGGTATCGGCAAAAATTTCGTATCATGATACATCACGATTTTTTCCCAAAAATATCAGGATATATCGTGATATATTTACACACAATTTTTACTACAATTTCAAATGAATTTCCATAATATTTCTTATTTAATATAAAGCATGTTTGGATGCAGTTGTTTGACTGTTTCAACATTTTTTACACTTCCTGTAATTGTCATTCAATAGTCTGAACAAATAAATGAATAATTTCCGGAATTTATAGTTATGTACTAAATACCGGTATTTTAGTCCCCGTAACATGAAATGTATCATTACACAATAAAAAATCGGGATATACTGGTATACTGATAAAATCGCACATCCATATGCCTGTTAGAGAAAAAATAGAAATAGGTAATGCTAATATGAATAAATATTTGTGTAATGAAAATGAATTATCAAGTTCATATAATTATATGTCAGGGTAAGAGAAAGAGAGAGAAAGAGAAATAGATGGTTAAAGAAAGAAAAAGGGGGTATCATTTTGGCCCATGGACCACTTATCAGTTATGTGTAGTAGTTTCTTTTTTTGGACATAGATTCTGTAGATTTTTTAGGGGTTTGTGGGCAGTTAGGGGTTGGAGAATGGGGGAATGGGTGGGTGGGAGAATGGAATTTTGAATTCTCATAATCCTTAGATATATAGCAGAAGTAGTTAAGGCCCTATAGATGTATGAATTATAAAGATAAGGACCTAGATCTGAGATAACATGTATAGCTTCAGCAACACTCTCAGAATCTTTTTTCAAACTAGAACATACCTCATGCAGTTTTTGTTTGATTTGAATGAAACATGATTGAAGTGGAAACATCAAGTTTCACTATTAATAAAAATTTTTCGAAATATTTTTCACTTGTCTTATGTAAGGAATAATTAGGTCTTTCCACCTTTCTGTGGAAAGACCTATTGATTTTCTTCTGTTTATTATTATTATTAGGTCTTTCCACCTTTCTGTGGAAAGACCTATTGAAATGCTTATGTTTATTATTATTATTATTATTTTTCCGTTACCGCCTTTTGAACCGAAAGACTTTTCGAAGAACTTTATAGTTCATGATACTCGACATCAAAAGTTATTTCGAAAAACTACCCAACGAGTATGACCTATGACCCCTTTCGGAGTTCTTGCCCTTTAAACGAAAAACCTTGTTATCGCTACTCCTTCGAAATCATAAACCGCAGAGGTACGAAACCTTAACCAATGTCTTCAACTAAATGAGTACTCGCTTCAAGGTTTCACTGCGAAAGCATTCGTCGACCCCTTTTATGAGTTATTGCCCCTGGACGTTTCTCATGTTTACGAATAATGAAAAACTTTTCTAAATGACAAGTCGTAAAGACATGGGACCAACTGCATAAGATTCTTTGACCTTAGACCTTGAACTTAAGGTCAAGGTCAAAGGTCAAGGTCATTCAAAATATAAGAAAATTAGCTCTTTTTATAGCTCTTTTGTCTTTCAACATATACTACATATCTTTGCATATTTAATATGTCCTTCTTAAAGTATTATAAAAATTTCATTCTTGTCCCCCAAGCTTGACCCATTCAAAAGTTGTCATCCCTTTCGCAGTAAAACCTTGTTATCGCTACTCCTCCGAAACCGTAAACCGTAGACATTCCAAACCTTCATCAGTGTCTTCGACTCATTTAGTACACTCTTCAATCTATACAGTGCGAAAGGGTTCTTCGGCCCCTTCTATGAGTTACTGTCCCTGAAAGTTTTTGCTGCTTACATTTAATGAACTTTTTTTTAAAACGGTGTATCCTAGAGACATGGGACCAACTACATCGGCATATTTGACCTTTGACCTTGAAATATAGGTCAAGGTCAAAGGTCAAGGTCATTTAAAAACATAAGAAATTCCTTATATATGTGTACAATATAGCAATTCAGCAAATGACCTTGAACTTTGACCTTGACCTTTGACCTTGACCTTGGGTCAAATGGAAAAGTAAGGACATGCATCCAGCTCCAGTATCAGGAAAACCATAGAAAGTAAAGATTTCTTGGTTTTTTTTTTTTTTCTTTTTGTTTCTTGTTTTTTGTTTGGTTTTTTTTTTTTTTTTTTGTTTGGTAATGACCTTGACCTTTGACCCTTGACCCAAAGGTCACAATCAGGCTTAAGGATGTGGAAGTAGTTACAATTCTTAGTTTAAAAGAGGCATAAAATAAATAATTCAACCCCCCCCCCCCTTCTTAAAAAAAAAAAAAAATCACATCAACAACAACGTAGAATATTACTCTAGAATTCAAACCAGACCTCGAATCGACACCAGATTTGGTACAAATGTAGTATAGACCTCAGAGAAACTTTCTGGAGAGTTTTACGGTGAGTCCTATAATTTTATAAAAGTCTTGAAGTTTCACGGCAAAAACTACAAGTTCTATTGTGTTTGAAATTTAAGTGCAGGTGAACGAAGAAATGATCTAAACCTTTTATCGGCTATTTCTTCAGATATCGTTAGTAGCATTCGATTCTCCTGATATGATACAACATTTTAATACCAAGCATTCTCTCTTTCTTTTACATTTGGAATTTATTTGATTTTTATTTAGAATTAATCAGTTTCCAGAAATAGCGATTTTCGGTATATTAAAAACCATTCTCGCTTTCATTGTCGTGTTTCCCTTCTAAAAATGCATGTTGGGAGTTTAATTTGTGATACACATATTTAATTTAACCCAAAGAAATGCTTATTTAAATGTTTCATATTTATTTCAGGATATTCAGTCAGAAATGTTAAAATCCGAACCCGATCTTTTAAGCTTACAACAAAGCTATTTACAAAAAATTCAGCATGCTCACAATATCCATGAATCGGGCTACAGTCCATTAATACATTTTCATTAGGGAACAGTGTTAACATTTTCTCACGCAGCCCGTCCCTTGTTATTTTATATACTGCTTGCAAGTTCAGGAACTATTTCCTTTTACGGAACTTCTTTCTTCCCCTACCGATTCTAAAAATACGCTTGCATTTCTTCTATAGTCTTAAACAATTAACTTATGTATGTTATCGGAATGCGTGGCCGAATGGTTAGCGCACCTACCTTTCAATCCAAGGGTTTTGAGTTCGAGCCCAGCTGGAGGAGCATATTTTTTTTTTTTTTTTTTTTCATTTTTTGCATTTTTCTTCTTTTTTTTCAGCTCAGATGACACGGAAACACTTAAAAAGGTGGAAAGGCCTCTAATTGTTCTCTGAACAATTAGTTTACTAGTTATTATTATTATTATTCTTCTTCCGCTGATTTTTTGTTTCGATGTTTATCGAAAAGATTATTCATTGACCGTAAAGGTCATAAAAAGTTAGGAACAAATTTGACCCAACGCTTATAACCTATGATCCCTTTCGCAGTTATTGCCCCTTTCGATAGAAACCTTGTTATCGCTACTCCTCCGAAACCGTAAACCGTAGAGGTACAGAACCTTCACCAATGACTTCGACTAATTGAGGGGACTCTTCAATCTTTTCATTGCGAAAGTATTCGTCAACCCCTTTTATGAGTTATTGCCCCTGAAAGTTTTTGATGTTTACAAATAATTAAAAATTTTCAAAACAATAAGTTGTAGAGACATGGGACCAACTGCATAAGATTCATTGACCTTTGACCTTAAAATTTATGCAAAGGTCAAAGGTCAAGGTCATTCAAAATATGAGAAATTAAGTTCTTTTTATATCTCTTTTGTCTTTCAACATATACTAAATATCTTTGCATCATTTATATGTCCTCTTGAAACTATTTCAAAGATTTCATACTTGTCCCCTAAGATTTACCCCTATTAAAGTTATTGCCCCTTTTACTGAAAACCTTGTTATCGCTACTCCTCCGAAACCGTAAACCATAGAGACACAAAACCTTCACTAATGTCTTCAGGGTCTTTAGACACAACTTCAATCTATTCAGTGCGAAAGTATCCGATGACCCCTTAATGAGTTATCGCCCTTTAATGTCTTTGCGCTTACTATTAAACCTTATAACTTTAAAACTAAAAGTCATAGAAGGATGGTGTCAAGTGCAATGTGACCCATGACCTTTGACCTCGAATATTTTTTCAAGGTCAAAGGTCAAGGTCATTTCAAAATTTTTGAAATTTTCATTTTTTCTATCTTTCAAGCCATTTATGGATTCTTTTTGTATAAAAATTAACTTTAGAGAGTTAAATATGAGAAATATATGAAATTCAATGAAGGTGGAAAGACCTCTAATTGTTCGAGAACAATTAGTCTACTAGTTAACAGTTGAATTTCGTCATCTCAAACACCTATACCTCAATATCATGCAGGGATATGTCAAACTGCATTGGCAGTCCCAACCACTTATTCTTTATGTTTTTCCCCTCTTTATCTCAAATCCCTGGATATCTCAAAGATTATTCCTTGAGAAACTTCATGAATTACTTCCATTAGTCTTCAGATATAGACCAATAGAGCTAAGGTCTCCTCAGAGACTTCTGTGCTTCATGTGAGTCTACTTTTGCAACTTTTTTTGCAGATGCAGAAAGCTTTAGTGTTTGGAGCTTCAGCCATTATCATTCTGACATTGAACCCAAAGATTTTAAAGGAGGTAAATACTTAAAATTACAGTTGAAATTCAGTATCTTGACCACTGATATCTCGAAAACCATGGATATGTCGATGTGATTTGAAAGTCCCGACCACTGATTCTTTAAGTATTTTACCTTCGATATCTCGAATTCTCAGATATCTCTAAGTTTTTTCTTGGTCCCATCGAGTTCAAGATAACAAGGTTTGACTGTATATACTTATTGGGTTTTTTTGTGTAAGCTGATTCCAAAATGTGCAAATGTTGATAATATCCAAGATTTTTTTTTTAATTTTTAAAATTTATCTTACAAATATTCATATTTAGTTCACCCATATGAAGTGGGATATACTGTAAACCAACTATTATTCGCGTCAACTTTTATTTGTGATTCGTCAGTTTGAAATCAATCTGCGACGATTAGTTTTTGCGACTGAGGAGACATTCTCTACAAATACGATGGAAAATAAATGCTTCATGGCGATTTATATTCGCGAGTTAAAGTTGGTTGCGAAACTCGCGAATATTTCTTGCGCATAATAATAAAAGTTGGTTTACAGTAGTTATTTTTAGATCCTGCATCTGCAAACCCCAGATTAAAGTTCGAGCAGGTCTGTTTTCCTAGTAATATTAATTAACATTACCTGCCAGTGGACATACTGTAAACCAACTTTTATTCCTGTGCGAGAAATATCCATGAGTTTTGCGACCTTCTTTAACTCACAAATATTAATTAACCATTTATTTTGCTTTGTATTGGTAGAAAATGTTTCTGTCGCGAAAATTGATCGTTGCAGTTGATTTCAAACTGCTGAATGGCGAATGAAAGATGACTTGAATAATAGTTGGTTTACAGTATCTTTTATGGATGATGAAGAAATCATGAATGCATTCTACAAGACTTCCCTTGGATGCTTAATCTGACCTATATTTCTGAAATAGAGGCCAGGTTAAAGATTTTGGAGCTGGTCTATTATTCTAAATCATGTTAGGTCCTATATCAAACTTAGTTAAGTGATGCAATGTCAGACTATGGATGCTGCATCTACCAGATTTTTCTAGATGAGTAGACAGGTGGATGTTTTTGAAAGAAGTCCATCTGCAAAATAACTATAAACCCTTCATGGACAAAACTTGTATGAATAAACTTGTTCATTTCAATATTTCCACTTACCTGCCTCCTTAACTATTTGCAATTTCCCTCTAGTTCCCCATACAATGCGTCGATAAATTTTTAGAGTCACTACGGTATTACCTCCAGTTATCCCCCTTAACTATAACTCTTCAGTTTTCTCTCGACGCCATATTGGACATGCGGTTTTCCTCAAAAATCCAAGTTCATTTCAATATTTCCACTTACCTGCCTCCTTAACTATTTGCAAAGGAATTTGCAGCCCAAACTGGAGGAGGTGGGAGAGGAAAGAGTAAATGGTAAAAGTACATAAAAAAAAATACATAATTACCTAATTTTGCTTCCCTCTCCTTGATGAGTCCAAGATTGCTGCCTTGGCAAAAATGGACTGATGATCTGGAACATCCTTCAGATAAAATGACGTAAATGTAGATTCAGATGTCCAGTGCGCTGCACGTAAAATCTCCTCTGAAGATACACCACAAAACAATGCCCAGGAAGTTGACAATCGCCTAGTGTCATGTGCTCTAACTAGATTTAACGTTGATGATTCTGCATTATCATATGCGAAACGAACCATGCTAACTATCCATCTCGCAATGGAATCTTTTGATGCTTCTTTGTGATTATTCTGTTGGTAGGTCACAAACAATCTATTTGACTTCCGAATCATTTTAGTTCTATTGATATAAATCTTCAAAGCACGACAAGGACACAGTTTCAAATCTTCTGAATCTGTGGCATATGAATCAAATGCAGGAATATAAATAGGGTCCCAAGGTCTATTTATTGTTTGTGTCTTTGCCAGGAATTCCATATTAGGTAACATTTTTATCCCTTTCCTCTCTATTCTAAAGTGACCATCATCTAAAGTGAGGCTATGAATCTCGCTCACTCTAGACGCTGAGGCAATGGCTACCAGAAAAACAGTCTTAAGAGTCAAGAACTTTAAATCCGCTGACTCTAAAGGTTCAAATGGTTGTTTTGTGAGAGTTAACAAAACCAGCGGTAAGTTCCAGTTTGGTGTTAACTGACGTACAGAAGGGTGTTTATTAAATAAGCCTTTCAACAATGATGAAAGTTCTGAACTTGTTCCAATACTGCTTCCATTCTGATGAACTATTGCTATTGCTGATTTATAACCAGCTATAGTCCGTGGTTTACACTTTCTCACCTTGAAAAGGTAAATAAAAAATTCTGCTAACTCTGGTACAGATGTTGTAATGGGATTGACACCATGTTCTTTACACCAACTGTTATATATTCTGAGTTTTGCATCATAAACTGTTTGTGTAGATGTCTTTCTGGCATTTGCCATAATTTCTGCAATTTCTTCAGAAAATCCTCTTGACTTGTGTTGCAATTTGACAGTTTCCATGCTACAAGATTGAGAGTTTCTAGGTTTTGATGAAAATTCTGATTGTGATTTTGAGACAGAAGATCTGGCCACAGTGGTAACTTGACTGGTACATCGATCAAAAGATCTATTAACTGAGGGTACCAAGACTGCCTGGGCCACATTGGAGCAATGAGTAGTACAACACTTGCCTCTTCCCGTATCTTCTGTAAGACTTTGGGCACAAGAATTGGTGGTGGAAATGCATAAGCATACATCCCTTTCCAACTGGTTGCTAGTGCATCTACTTGAAGAGCATTGATGTCTGGAACTGTCAAATTGCAACACAAGTCAAGAGGATTTTCTGAAGAAATTGCAGAAATTATGGCAAATGCCAGAAAGACATCTACACAAACAGTTTATGATGCAAAACTCAGAATATATAACAGTTGGTGTAAAGAACATGGTGTCAATCCCATTACAACATCTGTACCAGAGTTAGCAGAATTTTTTATTTACCTTTTCAAGGTGAGAAAGTGTAAACCACGGACTATAGCTGGTTATAAATCAGCAATAGCAATAGTTCATCAGAATGGAAGCAGTATTGGAACAAGTTCAGAACTTTCATCATTGTTGAAAGGCTTATTTAATAAACACCCTTCTGTACGTCAGTTAACACCAAACTGGAACTTACCGCTGGTTTTGTTAACTCTCACAAAACAACCATTTGAACCTTTAGAGTCAGCGGATTTAAAGTTCTTGACTCTTAAGACTGTTTTTCTGGTAGCCATTGCCTCAGCGTCTAGAGTGAGCGAGATTCATAGCCTCACTTTAGATGATGGTCACTTTAGAATAGAGAGGAAAGGGATAAAAATGTTACCTAATATGGAATTCCTGGCAAAGACACAAACAATAAATAGACCTTGGGACCCTATTTATATTCCTGCATTTGATTCATATGCCACAGATTCAGAAGATTTGAAACTGTGTCCTTGTCGTGCTTTGAAGATTTATATCAATAGAACTAAAATGATTCGGAAGTCAAATAGATTGTTTGTGACCTACCAACAGAATAATCACAAAGAAGCATCAAAAGATTCCATTGCGAGATGGATAGTTAGCATGGTTCGTTTCGCATATGATAATGCAGAATCATCAACGTTAAATCTAGTTAGAGCACATGACACTAGGCGATTGTCAACTTCCTGGGCATTGTTTTGTGGTGTATCTTCAGAGGAGATTTTACGTGCAGCGCACTGGACATCTGAATCTACATTTACGTCATTTTATCTGAAGGATGTTCCAGATCATCAGTCCATTTTTGCCAAGGCAGCAATCTTGGACTCATCAAGGAGAGGGAAGCAAAATTAGGTAATTATGTATTTTTTTTTATGTACTTTTACCATTTACTCTTTCCTCTCCCACCTCCTCCAGTTTGGGCTGCAAATTCCTTTGCAAATAGTTAAGGAGGCAGGTAAGTGGAAATATTGAAATGAACTTGGATTTTTGGGGGTAAAATCCGTGTTCATGAGATATTTACACTTACCTGCCTCACCCGCCCACCTCCCCTCTCGAGGAAGTTGAAAGGTAAGAACCTTTTAATTCGTCGAGAGAAACTGAAGAGTTATAGTTAAGGGGGATAACTGGAGGTAATACCGTAGTGACTCTAAAAATTTATCGACGCATTGTATGGGGAACTAGAGGGAAATTGCAAATAGTTAAGGAGGCAGGTAAGTGTAAATATCTCATGAACACGGATTTTACCCCCAAAAATCCAAATCTAGGGCTGCATTATAAACTTCCATACTATTGTTGGATGCTGCACCTGTGAGATACATTTTCCATATGCGTGCATGGCCATGTTTTAGCTCTTAGGGCAGGTCTCCTCAAAATTTACTTAAAGCCCAACATTTATATACTTGCATTGTTGAAATATTTAAAGATGAGAATTACTTCCTTTCCATTTTTCAGTCCGGATGATAGGTGATTATCAAAGACCTTAATATATTTAAAACAAATGCCTTATTTATTTTATATGTTTTATTCGAGTTGGCAGGTATTGTCCACAGTGGTCTACACAACAGTGGGGCAGCCGGCAAACTGGCACATCCCCCAACATCAACAATTAAGTTGTGCCCTCCCTGACGGGAAAAGTAGCACGCTGGGTTGACCTCAATCGTGCTACGGACACATTTCAACACAAATTATCTTTAATTATATTAATTATAATTAATTATATCAATTATATTACATAATTTTGCTTTAGATTTACTCAATATGAGATATAATTTTCAAAGTCAACATCACATATATCAACATCAACCATCACATATATCAACATCAACCACAACAAGTCAAGAATATAAATAGTTCAATGGTTAAATTGAAGGTGACGATTTTGCCACATGGGCACCGCAGGTGCCCACCGCCACCTGGTGGGGGTAGGCAGCTTCAATTTAACCACCCACCGTGGACCCCTAGCCTACTCAAAACCCTCAGCACCCCACCCACTGTGAATACCACTTTCTAATTGTCTCCACTACTCAATATATC